TAAATGAGAGCCTTTTTTGCTTTATGCTTGATTGCTATTGCTTCTGCTACTGTTGTTTCATTGAGCACTGCTACTTTTAATGATACTGTCCATGGAGAAAAACCAGTTTTTGTTAAATTCTTTGCACCATGGTGTGGACATTGCAAGAGACTTGCTCCAATTTATGAAGAATTCTCAAATGTTGCAGCCACTGAATTCCCAAATTTAGTTGTTGCTGAAGTTGATTGTACTCAAAACCAAGATATTTGTGAACATGTCCAAGGATATCCAACTCTTATCTTATACAAGGACAATGAATCTACTGAATTTGAAAGTGCTAGAACTGTTGATGCTCTTAAGGAATTCGTTGCTAAGAAACTTTAAACAAAAGGTTATGATTTACTAAAATATTAAAGTTTATATTTTTAATAATAATTAACATCATTTGATGTTATTAAATAAAAAATCTCTTTAAGAACTGTAAAATTAATATAACAATTTTTAATGCAAAACTTTTATTTGATTTCTTCTTCAAAAAATATATTTGATTTAAACAAAGTACTCATTAGTATTGGTTCACTTGGTGATATTAGAATTGAAGAAGAAACACCAAATATATTACCTCGGCATTGTTCATTAATTGTATGCGATAAAGATTGGGGAAGGTGTGTTTGTAACTTAAGTGATTTAGCACCAGTTCTTGTCAATGGAGTTAAAGTAGAAACTAAACAAAACTTACACCATGGTGATGTGTTATCAGTTTGTGGGAAAGAATTTACATATTTAAAGAAGAAGGAAGAAAAAAGACCAAATACTCGTATCACAATTAAAATGAATGACCGTCCTTCATTAAAGTTTCAAATCAAAAGGAAAGAAGAAACAAAGCCAATCCCACCTTCATCTGATGATAATTCTTTAATTAAAAAAGTATTGTGTCAAAAGAAAAAAAAATCTTTTAATAAACAACAACATAACGAAAAATGTAGGACTTCTAAACTTGAAGAAATAACTTCAGAAAGTGTTGATGATAAATCTAATGAACAAGTTGTTTTTAATAATATTGATTATAATGATGAAGTTTTTATATTTGATGATGACGATGATGATAATGTTGGAAAAACACAAAGTTGTAATACAAGTGGACTTGCAAATGACCAGACATTATTTTTTGCAAATAGTGACAATATTAGTGATGACGAACCATTTTACTTTGATTAATGTATTTGAATTGAATGATTTTTAAATATAAAAAAGAATGAAAATAAAATATTTAATAAATTATTTAATTTATCACATCTTAACACTTCGTGGAAGAAGTGTAAAATGATATACACCATCTTTTTCAACTAATCTACTAGTTCTTTGTGCAGCAGTTTTACCTGAACAAATAACTTCTTGAAGATCTTCAATCATTGAAGTATTAATATTAAAGAAACCATGATTAGCTCCATCAATATTTCGTTCAAGATCGCCTGTATCTATAACATCAATATCATCTAATTTCTTTCCATTTAAATCTTTAAAGACTGAAACATTTTGACCTATTCTACTTCCTCTCATCATAAATTTACTTGATCTTAATGCCATATCTCGAGAGTCTGCATATAAAGAAACGTGTTTAATATATGGAATAAAATCAGGATAATCATCAACAAATGTAGCTGCGTCATAATCTCCAGATAATAATATTAAATTGTGAACTTCAAACAGTCCATGATCTCTACAAAATTCTTCTGTTGGAGCAAATAATTCTTTTAACATTGAAAAACTTTGTAAGAAAAATCTTGTTCCTAATGAATGTCCTAAGAAATGAATTTTCTTTATTTTTGTATTACGAAGAGAATAAAGAAATCGACGTAAATCTCTATGAACTGCATTATCACTAGAAACATTCGCTGCACAACAATACAAAAATGGATTAGAACATGATGGCCAACTAAACACAAATGGGATAATATGTTTTGGAAAATGTCCTAATGCAAGTAATTGACCTAATCTCTTTAGTGCATCAACTAATGTATGATTTAATCCATGAATGTATATTAATGCCTCTTTTCCTTCTTCTGCGATTGGCAACCAACGTTCATCAATCCCAATTTGGCCATTATCATAGTTTAATTTAATATCATCAACATCCCCTTGGAACCCAGAGATTGAAAGATTGTTTAGAGAGTCAATAGCAACAGTAATAGTTTCAACTGGTTTATTATCGTCAGAGTGCTTATAATATAAAAATTGATTATTTAAACATTGACATGGACCTTGACATTGACATAATGTTGGTCCATTGATAAACCGACAACGTGGATATCCTAAATAAAAATTACCAGAAACGTTACACTCAACTCCAGCAACACCATAATGCAGTGGTTTACGATGATTAGTGTATTTACCCTGGGCGTCTGTAGCAAAAATAATACGTAAACTATGTAAAACATTTCTAGTCCCATTTTCAATTGATTCAAAAGGACCAACAGGTTCACCATTTTCAAACCACCCACTAACATATTCTCCTTGATAGCTTGTATCAATCCAAAGCGATTCTCCTTCTACTAGTCCTGAATATTTAGACTCTAAAACACATAAATGAGGATTACTAAAGAACTGGTCTTGCTGAATTTCATATCGTATTGTGTCTTCTTGAACAATTTTTCTAATTGACCCTGTCTCCCGTCTTATTTGACTAATATAAAATCTCTTTAAACGAAGTGAAGTTGAATAAATAAATAATGAAAATAAACCCAACAAAACACAACAAAATAAATAGGGAACATAATACCCTGGTTGATAATACCATGAACAAATAAAAAAAATAATGGTAAAAAGATATGCCTCAGTAGTAAGAATTCGATATTTCATTTGTAAACGAGGACCAAACAAAATACAAGCAATTGAAAGAACAGCCTCTAATAAATATTCTACAATAAATTTATTATGCCGTTTAAACAGAAATATTTGAAGCATTAAGTAAATCAAAAAGATAATTGCAATACTAATAGAATATAAAACACTAAAAGTTTTACTCGAATTTGTAAATGTCATTGTAATTTTTCGATTCCATTGTCTTTCTTTCATATGCCAATATGTGTGTAATACACCTGCAATTTCTTGAGCATCTTTGTTTGGATCTAATATAATAGAGACAGTGGTGTCAGTGACAGGAACAGGAGAAGCTTTTGAATCAAAACTTTTAAATGAAGTTTTACTTTGATTGTCTTTTGACATAAAAAATTATAATAAAAACAGTGAGATTATAAAAAGATAAAAAAATTTAATTTTTAGGATAATAGAAACCTTTCTCATATTTCTTTTTAGAGAAAAAAAATATAATGAGATTTAATCTTATCATAAAAAGAACTTATTTACATTAATTCAAAATAATAGAAGAAATGCATGTAATTTGGTTAACTTTGTTACATTATTTTTGTCATTAAATCAACAACAAGAAGAACTTTCTTGAATAGGAGAAATAGTAGTTATTTGATTAGCTTCATTAAGTGAAGTAATTAACTTTTTATTTTGTAAAATTGATTCTGCTAGATCTTGGAATATTTCTTCAACGTTTTGTCCTGTTTTAGCACTACTTAAATAGTGACGTGCTTTTCTTGTATTTGCAAATTGAATAGCACTTGATTCAAGGACTTTCATTTCTTTATCAATTTTATTACCAACAATAATAATTTCTGAATTTGGTTGTTCATCACGATATTCTTCTATCCAGTAATTTAACTATTTTTTGAGTTACTTTTCTTCTTTTTTACTATTTTATTTAAATAACAAACTTTTTCAAATGTTTCTAGTTTATTTACATCATAAACAATAATGCATCCATGAGTCCCTCTAAAATAACTACTTGTAACATTATGAAATCTTTCTTGTCCAGCAGTATCCCAAATTTGTAATTTAACAGGAGTTTCTCCAATTTTTAGTTCTTTAAATTCAAAGTCAATACCAACTGTTGACATCATTTCTTCTAGAAATATTCCTTCACAATATCTTTTAACCAATGACGTTTTACCAACACTTGATTCGCCAATCATTAATATTTTAAAAACATAATTAGGTTCTTGGGTCATAAATTCTTTAATGAAAATTTTTATAGTTCTTTCATTTTATTAAGAGGTTTCACAAAAAAAAAATGTTTGAAAAGGTCTTTATTTATCACTTAGTAAAAGAGTTATTCTTTTTTCTTTTCAATATTTTAGTATTTTTTGAAGTTTAAATAATAAAATAGTTAACTCTTTATTTCAAAAGATTCTTTAGAAAATTCCCCTTTGTTTTGAGAAAATAAATTAAAAAATGGAATTTAAAAGATTTTTATAAAAAAGAAAAATAACAATTTGAAAAAAGATATAATTAAAAAAAATTTATTCATATCCATTATTATGATAAAGTGGTTTAATTGCTTTAATGAATTCTTTTAATCGTTCATCAAACGAACTCATTTTACGATCGTCTAATTCCATAGTTCCTCCTAAATCGATCATTTGGAAATATGACATAAATTTTTGACGTTTTACAGAATTTTGAATAAAACTTGCAATTCTAAATTGAGTTTTTTGATAAATATCTGGGTATATAACAATAATAGCAAATATTAATCTTTCTAATGTCCATGCTTCAAATTCATTAAATAAATTATCAAAGGCATTCATTATTATATCAGGTATTAATCCTTGAAGCGCTTTTAATAATACTACGCAATATTCATTTGTACTTCGTTGATTATATGCAGAATATAATATTGATTCAATGCTTGAACTTCCAGTTACTATCCATAATACTTTTTTCTCTTTTAATGCTCTACAAGCAAACCTAAATATAAATTGAACTTTTTCACTTTCAAGTTGAAGTGAAACTACTTGTTCTGCCATTTTTTCACAGTACTTTAATAATATCTCAAAAGTTTTTGGATAATTTAATGAATAATTTTCTATCATAATTGACAATGATGCTATAGCATTAATTAACATAGTAACAGTATTATCATTGTATATTTTAAATGCTGCGAAATTAATATGATTATTATCTAACAACCAAACAGTCACTTTTATTGCAAGTGAAGCATTTCTAATAAAATTATCAAATAACTCTCCTTTTGGTGTAGCAAGTATTTGAGTTTGTTGTTCTAAAGCATACTCAGAGAATTTAATAACAAGTTCAGCAATATAGTGAAAAAGTCTACAAGCAGTTGGACATTCAGGTGCATAATTATATTTAAAATCTCTTGATACAGTAATTTGTTTTGCTAATCTTAATACAAAAAACCAATCATCTCCATTAATTGGTCCATTTATAGGATGTAAATAAATATCATTATGAGCACAAATATGTTCAAAAATTGGTGGAATATTTTCTATACATGAATGAGAGGCTTTTACAATTGCTCTTATATCAACTAATTGAAAAGGATGAGGTATTAAAAATTGTCTTAAAAATCTAACATGATATGATAATGGAATATTATATAATAATAACCCAAGGCATTGATAAAAAGATGTTCTAAAATCAACCATTTCATTTAAAGGAAGTGAGACATTTTGTAATACACTAAAACAGTCATCTTCAAATAAAAATTTTAAAGGAGGTAATTTAACAACTTTGTTTGCATACTCATTAATAGAAACAATTTTTTTTAATACTTCAGTAATTTTCATTAATACTTTATAATTTCTACACCACATAGAAATTAATGTAAATATCATTTCAATTAAAGATAAATAATATCCAAACGCACTAGTTATAGACTCTTGTCTAATAATAATCATTCCATCATCTCTATAATTTTTACTTTCATCCCATAAATAACTGGATATGTAACTTTTATAAAACATTAATATAGCCATTTGAACTTTAGATCTTGGAGTTTCTATACTTCTATCAAACGAAGATGAATTAATATTACTTATACATCCTTTACATACAAGATCTATCTTTCTTGCAAACATTGAATAAAGACAAACAGATTGAGAGTCTGTAGGATCTCTTCCAGCAAGGATAGATGATGATAATATAATTAGATTAGAAAATATATTAAAATAAATTTCTTCATTTGTTTTTGAATCTTCAATTGTTTTAAATATTCTTTGTAATAACACAGAGTCTGTTTGATTTACTCTTTGATTTTCAATAAATAAATTGATAAACGTTTCAAAAATACTAAAAGTTTCTGCAAGACATAGTTTTGCTAAAACTCCAAAATGAAGAAATGCACTTTCATTAATCTCTTCATATTCATCTTGTATTAACCTACAAAATAATACAACAACACATTCAAATGAACTTGGTATAAATGATGGGTATAAAGAATACATACCCCAAAACCTTAATATATTATATATTGATCTAGAATCACCATTATAACAAGCAAATGTAGTAAATGCAGAAATATGGTCAATAAACTCTTGATTAATATAACTAAAAATTGGATGTGTAGCATGAAGATCAGTTAGTAATTGAGATCCCATATTTATTAATTCAATTCTCCCACTTGTTGCACAATAATCAACAACCTTAACTAACCTTTTAACAAACCAATCTCTTGAACCTTCTATTTCCATAGTATCAACAAAACAAGATGGTTTAATACGTGCTAATTGATCAATCAAATTTAAAGATTCAGGAACTCTTGAAATGATTATATCTAAAATTGACATAAAATAATCTAAGAACTCTTTCGTTGGATAAAACGTAAAAGTTTCATCAGTTTCATCAGTTTTTGTAATATTACAAACAAACATAGCATTTTCTAAAATAGAAATTGCACCAATTCCTGGTCTATTTAAATTACTTCCAGCTAACCCAGTAATAACCATTAATATACTATTTCTAAAATCAGCAGTAATTTTCTTTGGAAAACTTGGTTTTGTTTGATAAGTTCTAAATGTCTATTAAATGTAAATAATATAATAAACAAAAGAAAAATAAAGTACATATTTGCATAAAACAAACATCGATTAAAATATTTGACATATCAACAAAAACGTCATAATTCTTATCTGATAATACTTGAAAAGTATTCACCAAATTTTGCGTATTATGTTCAAATTGCCAACACCCAATAACACTCGAAGCAAAAAGGGTTGAAGCTGATTTTTTCATTTGAGGATTATTTTTAAATAATTGAAGTGAGAGGAGTTGAATAGATTCAGAAATTCCAATGAATAATTCTGGTGACTCTAACATTCCTTGTGATAATAACGATATACAATATGTTTGTACAAATGCATTATTTGAACTTTGTAATAACCCTTTTAATATTTCAATTTCTTCTTTATTTTTTATTTTTTCAATTAAGTATGCCTTTAATTGAATTCTTCTGTTATTGTCACTTGTGGTATAATATTCTTGAACCAAATTTTCTAAGTTGTTCATTATAATTAACAACTTCAAATGTCTTTTTCTTGTACTTTTTCTTTTTTCTCTAATAATAAAACCTCAACTCTTTTTTTGTTTTATATATCGTTTTTTATTGATTAAGAAATAAATTTGTTTTATTATTTTTATCTTTCTCAATATTAAAGTAACATAATACTCTAAGAAAAAAGCATCAGAACGACAGATAGTTATCATCATTCTCAGACGTAAATTACCCAAATTTTATTTCTTCATTTGCTCATTTATTAATGAGTGATTCTTTTTAAAATGTAAAATCATTTGGTTTATTATTTTATTATGGCTCTTTAAAAAAACTATCTTTATTTTACTGTTTTTTTATTGTGCAACTTTTTATAAAACTCCTATTTCTAGTGTAATTAACAAATGTTATAAAATTTTAGTTTTGTTATTATTAAAAACAAAAAAAAAATAATTTCAAAAAATACTAAATATAGATAAAATTCTTTGGTGAAAAAAATTCGTTAAAATCTAAAAAAAAATCAATCACTTTATTACTTCCAATGAGTACCACTATTGTTACTTCAATTGCTTCTTTAGTTGTGTTTATAATTGTTGTTGTTGGTTATGTTATTAAACGAAAAGAAAAAGGATATATTTCATTTTATAATCCTGAATTTAAACCTGACGTTATTGCATTAGAAGAAATGGTGAATGACATTAAAGCAGTTTATGCTCGTCCAGTTAAAGACACATCAGTTTTCATTGATATTCCACGACTTGCTCCAAAAGTTCAAATATTTAAAGACTCTTTATTAGTTGTTTCTGGTCCTAAAATATCAGAACAAAATCCTGATTATCAGGCTGAAGAATGTATTAAAGCCGTAGTCTGTGGTTTAGCATCTTCATTAGATGAAAAAGAATTAGCAAACAAATTAACTTCAACGTATGACAAATATTTTCCGTATGTTTCTGGTAAAAGAAATGGAGATGCAGCTATTTTTGGAGAGAGTTATTTACAAGAAAATATTGAAGAAGGTGATCTTGTGCTTTCTATTCTTAAAACTATTACACAATGTATGTTTGCAAGTGCTGTACAGTATTACGTTCCATTAAGAATGAAATTTCCATATAGAGATGTCCCAAATGGATGGAGAGTTGATATTGATGTTACACCAAAAACAGTTATTATTAAACACCATAAAAGAGAAGCTAGTGTAGTCACTGACCAATTCTTTTTTGAATGGTCATTAAAACTTGTAATAGATAGAAACAATAAAGAAATTAGTGAAATTAAAACATGTGTTGAGTATGTGAATTTTAGTGATCAATGCAATGTAACTGATCAAAATAATTTCAGACAAATTATTGATGCTTTAAATAAATAATCATATTTCATTATTTCTATTTTTTTTATTAATTAAGAAGAAAAGAAGTAGTAATCTTTTACTAAAAATCAATCTGTTAAATTCTACTCATTGTTGAGAAAACTAACAACACTCATTTTTTCTTTTGGACCTAAGAGAATGCTTTTTTGTAAGGACTTTTCAAAATTTATCCCTTGTTTTTGAGCAAGAAATAATACTTCATCTAATGATTCTAAATTAGGTTCATATTCATAAGAAATCCAATTTAATCTCGAAAAAATTCTTTTTGTGTGAAGTGCATGTAGGCAAAGTGCATATGGCGCAAGGCGTGTATTTCCACTTATGAAAGTAATTCTCCATCTAATTGTTGTTTTATTTATATAAAACTTTTCAAAAATAACAGAGTTACCAGTTCTTGAAATAAAATGTACAGAATCAAGAAATGGATATACAACAAAACTACTAGAAACAAAGAGAAGTTGTAATTCAGTACGTATTCTTACTGTTATTGGAATAATACCCGGTTGATTTAAATCGACTATTTTGACTGAGTCATAGAGGGCATTAATCAAAGGAGTAATGTCTTCTTTAATAATAAATACATAATTTGAAGAGCGTGTTTTTGAAGACACAGAAAACCAGTTAAAAATTAACGCACAACCAGGGTAATGAAAACAAAATATTGCATCAATGTCTTGAAATGAAATTGAATAATTATATTGATCAAAAGAAACAAATAACTCATTATTTCTTATATACAGTGAACCATTATCTATATAAATTCCATTAACTGTAGTAGAGACATGATGAATAATAACTTTAATATTACACCATTCCATTAACTAAAAATAAGATATTAAGATTTTTCTTTTACAAAAAATTTAAAAAAATTACTTGAACCAAAGAAAAAATTGTTTTTGAAAGTTCCATTATAACATTTAAATTGATACACAAACATCCATTTATTCAGGAAAGGGTACAGGTTTTTCTAGTAACTTATTGAAATCATTCTCTTCACTTAATATTTTACTTGCCCGTGTTAGTTCCATTTTTAATGCCTTCAGTCCATCCATTGAAACTCCTTTAGTACAATTTACAAGTGAAATAGGATCTAATACCGTCATAACCGCAGGTACAAGAAAGTAATTTTCAGGTAATTCACCTAGTGTTGGTTGAATAGGGTAGTCATAATCAAAATTTTTATAATAATCAAAAAACCCTTTAACTAAACTTGCTGGAGTATGTTGCATTGTTACTTGTGCTGGTAATTTAGATCCTAATATCCTTAATTCACATGGAGGTACTAAGTAATATCGAAAATCAGAAGGAAATAATGGGGGGTCAAATGTTGTAAAATAGTGACATACTAGAAAAGTTAATCGTTAATAGTATTGCACTAAATATAACAAACTCATAAAACATAGAGCTGCTGATGACAGTCCTCCTTTAAATGGACAATTCAAATTCCGTATTTTTAACCAATATTTTAACAATACCGCAACAATCCTAAAATGTTTAATGCAAGCAATCATTGTATAAAAGAATTCTGAGTGTATTTGAGCCACAGGTTGATTGAATGATAAATCAATTTTTACTTTAGTCTCTAAATCAATCATCTTGATAATAGGAACTTTTGCAGTCTCAATAACATTCTTTACTTCAAATTTGTCTATTTAATTAAATCTTATTTTTTTTTACTATATAACTCCCCTTTTAAGGTAATAAAAATAAATGAAACAAACTTCTCTTAAAACACTCCGCAAATGACTCTAATACAACAGGGCTTACTTGTCTTCCTGACTGACTAGTACAACAGATATCTAAATCACCATCTTTTAGACATAGACCATAATGGGTTGATCCGTACACTTGTCCTTTAAACATAAAATCAACGTAATTTAGATTTAATACATGTTCAACACGTTCCATGACTTCATATCTTATTTCAACTAGTTCATCAGGTAATCTAATATTCAATCAATAATTGTTATTTTTTTAACTTAACAACAAAAACAGTTTTCTTTTATTGTCTTTTCGTCTTGTTTAGGAGAAAAGAAGATGATTTAATCATAAATTAATAACAAACATAACTCTATCAAATATTTTCTCTAATTGGTCATTGAGTATGTCTTCTGATGACCCTCTATGTAATCACTCTCTGTTTTTCTCTTTATTATTTTTCAATATCAAATGCTAAAAACAAACGCTTGTTTCTTTCTTTTATTATATGGCTTATCTCTTTTAATTCTTCTTTCATTATTTCCTCTCATACGTTTTCCATCGTTTGAAATCGACATATCTGATTTAATAAATGAGTTCATTTAACTCTCTTGAAAAAATTTCTCTTTATTTCAGCTATTAGCTTATTTTATCATCTTTTTTCGGGAAATTATGTTGCATCACAACCTAAAATAAAAACATCATTTAAACTATATTTTATAGTTAATAAAATTATATTTTATAATTAAAAAACAAGAGGGTTTAACTAATTAAAAACTTCAGAGTTTAGCATAATGAAAAATGTCTTTCTTATATGAATTCATTCAACTAAGATTCCTTCAATTGTTTCATTCCTTTAATACCTTTTATTTTTCTGTGTTTAATTAGTTTTGATAGAAAACATCAAAGTCATCATTCAACTAGATTAAATAAACCTAAATAAATCTTATGATTAGACCATAGAGCTAACTCAATTATTTCTTTGATTGGATCTTCTTCTTTGGTCTAAGATCTCCTGAATGTCCACATTTCTTTTTTCTGCAAGTAGTAGCTCTGAGAGGAAGTCTGGCATAGCATCTTCTGCAAATCATTTTATCGCAATTATATTTTCTAGCAATAGCTTCCAATGCTGGTTCAATACCCATGATGAGTAATCTACATTATCTCAAGTTCCGTCTTAGGGTTTTTATACTTTTTTCTTTTTCTAATCTCAATAACTTAAAGACTTTTCTTCTTTAATACAATTGATTTTCTTTAATTTATATCTTACTATAATCTTGATGTACATACAGTAATTCCCTTATTATATTTAAATAAATTATTATATCTAATATTCTTATACTATTTTTATAGTAAAAACCTAAAACAAAAAAATATTATAAAAATTGAAAAAAACAAAAGAATTCTAAAATGTATTTACTATGGTAAAGCTTGATCCATCATTTTTTCGGTTTATGTCTAAAGAAGAATTTAGAGTATTAACAGCAATTGAAATGGGAATGCGTAATCACGAATTAGTACCATTAGAATTAATAATTCAAATTTCTAAATTAAATCAATCCTTGGTGGTTCGGTCTATGAAAGATTTACACAAACATAAACTCGTTTGGCATTCAACAATGCCATATAATGGATATAGATTAACATATCTTGGTTATGATTATCTTGCTTTAAGAACACTTACACAAAGAGGAGTAATAACTGGGGTTGCACAGAAGATTGGAGTTGGAAAAGAGGCTGATATTTATTTAGCAACTAATGAAAAAGGAGATGAGCTAGTACTAAAATTTCATAGATTAGGAAGGACATCGTTTAGAGCTGTCAAAAAGAAAAGAGATTATACAAAAGGTCGTGTGACTACCAATTGGTTGTATTTATCTCGTTTGTCTGCTCAAAAAGAATTTGCTTTCATGAAGGCATTATATACAAAAGGCTTCCCTACTCCAATCCCAGTTGATTGTAATAGGCATTGTGTTTTAATGTCTCGAGTTAAAGGAACTTTATTAGCAAATGTTAGAGAAATAGAAGAGCCTATTGCTGTTTTCCATCAAGGACTTGATCTTGCAGTTAAATTAGCTGAATGTGGATTAATTCATTGTGATTTGAATGAATTTAATCTCATATTAAGTGATGATGACAAATTAACAATGATTGATTTTCCCCAAATGGTTAGTGTTCATTGTTCTGAAGCTGAAGAATTCTTCGATCGTGATGTTGGATGTATTAAGACCTTTTTTTGGAAAAGATTTGGATTTGGAACTGAAGAAGTTATCACTTTAAAAGATATTGAACAAACAGAGAATTTAGATGAAGAAGTTAAAGCTAGTGGATTTGATTTTAAAAATGAAAAATTATTAGAAAAAGCACGTAAAGAATTTGTCGAAGATGATAGTGTTGATGAAGAAATGAAAGATGACATTGAAGAGGATGCTAATGGTAATGATGAAAATAGTGATAATGATGAACTTGAAGAAAATGAAGAACAAGAATAAATAATAAATTGATTTGATTTTTTATTATTAAGAAAAATAATTGTTTTAATAAATTAACGATTAAATAATAATTAATTATTTAATAAATCATCAAATAATTGCCAATTTTCATTCGTTGTCATTGATTCAATATTCATATTTTCTACATTACTGTTAAAGATAGGATCAACCACCTCCCATAATAATTCTATTTTCTCTGATATATCCATTTGATGTATCTGAATACTATTTCTTTCAGAATCAGTAATAAAAAGTTGGTCTTCTTTCAGTTCAATTGATATATCTTCATTATTACAATCAACATAATAAACGTTTCCTCTTAGTTTTCCATCAATAATTTTAATGTATGTCTTATTCTCCCTACAAACAAAAATGAAAGGATTATCATTTGGTTTCTTTTCGTTTTGTTTCGGTTGGACTTTTACCAGTTCTTTTTCTTCATTACTATAATTTTTCTGAATTGTTAATGATTCTTCTGATTCAATTGGAGTAACCTTCATTGTCAATTGGCTAACTTTCTTTCTCATTTCATCTAAAGCGTTTTCCATGTCTCCTAGTCTATAATTAACTAATTCAGAAATTTCATTTTTTGGTTTTTTGATCTTTGATTGGCATGGAATATTCACTGGTTCAAAATACATTTGTTTGACAATACGCAAAACAGGTGGAGATAGTGCTTTCATTTTATAAAGTCCAAATAGAAATAGTCTTAAAATTTTTTTTTCATCTTCCTGAGCAATGAAATACATTGTTGAAGGTTTAATCATTTCAAAGAATAAGGTCATCTTATCATTATTCCCTAATATTTTACCAAATTCCATTGCTTGAAATGGTTTAACCCCTCCTTGTATCATTTTTTCTATTTTCTCACAAACAAACACATCAGGAAGATCAGCTAATGAATTCTTTTGAATATAATCATTTACAGCAACTATCTCAGTCATATCACTACTAATTGGGCTATTGTCATTAAAAAATGGTTCTAATATAGTTCCTTTAGATGATTCTTTTAGACTATTAATATCTTCATTAAACGTAACAACAAGAGAAGGATAAATTTGGCGTGCTTCAGACATAGGAGGAATGAATAATATTTTGAAGATTTACTTTTTTTTAAAATAACTAAAAACATCAGGTGAGATCTTCTAAACATTCAGCCTCATTAAATAGAAAACAACTTCTTATTCATTGGAAAGCCTTCTCTAATAAAATACTTAGAACAAATAAAACCAGTCAAGAACTTTCATAACATTATCCTTTTGTAAAAACGATTTAACATATTCCAGATATTTTTTATAACATTAACTTAGAAAAAGAGAACTCTTTAGATTTGTGGGTGCTTTGCTATTGCGAGAGTGTTGCAGCCAAGACTCAAGGGAATAAGGTAGTGACCAAACTTTTTTGTTAATTATGCATAACAAAAAATCATAAATGAAGACTATTTTTTCACATAAAAAGAAAATTTTTTTTTTGGTTTTCACCATTTTAGTCATATAAAATATTGTTAATAAGATTGTCAAATGCAATAAAGTTATTAATATGATGGCAATATTAATAGCACCATAAGAAGTTAATAGAGTATATAGTATTCGAATGGTTGCATATTTTAAGACATAGAAAAGATTCTAATTAAAATTAATAAAAAATAAAATAACGAATAAATTAAAAGATAAAGTGAATGAATTTGAGGAAAAATTAGGAATAGTAATAGAGTTAACGATGTATTAATACTGTTTAAATATGTTCAATGGTTGATATTATTTTATTTCTTTCCAAGATTCTATTTTCTTAAATGAAGAAACATGAAGCAACAAGAAAAAATTTAAGCAATAAAAAGAAAAAAAAATAAAAATATATTTCAAATATAATTCTAAAAACTTAAAAAATCTTAAAAAGAAAGCGATATCTTTCATTAATTGATGAGTGATTCAATTACTGACATTTTCAAAAGTCTTTATCTTGACTCTAACGGGTTTGAAAAGTTAAAGAAAATTGCCATTGAAGAAGGGTTGAGTAAAGCATTACGTCCACTTGCATGGAAAATTTTCTTAAAAGTAATTAAACCACAAGCCAGTGAAGAATGGATTGAGACAATGAATAAACAACGAAAGAGTTATGATGATTTAAGGGCAATGTTTGTTATTATTATTGTATATAATTCATAACTGATAATTAAAGGCATTGGGAAAATAAAGAAAAATTAGAACCAAAAGTTGCATTTGTTGATCCTTTGGCCCCACCCACAGAAGACCCAGAAATTAAATTTAATAAGGACATTCTTAGGAGAGTTGAGGCAGATGTTAATAGATTATTTTCTGATCAAGAATACTTTACTGACCCTCAATTTAGAGAAAAAATTACAAGAATGTGTTACATCTTTGCTAAGGATCATAAAGACAAAAATTATCAACAAGGATTTCATGAAATTATGGCGATTATATATCATACATTTGATACTGATATTACTACTACTTTTATCAAAGAACGCTCCGAACAAATTAGTTTAGAAGAACCAAATAAGTCTGTTTGTAGTTTTTTATTTATTTAAATAACTAAGAAATACAATAATAACACAATAAGATTTTATTAGAAATGTTTAACACAAAATATCTTGAGGAAGATACATACATTACTTTCGAATATCTTATGAAAGACCTTGGTGTATTATATGAATTCAGAGATCTTAAACGAAGTGTGGCAGATAATAGTTCTAAAATTCAAGAGAAATGTGAAGCAATATTTGATAATTTAAATCAATACGATAGTCAATATCATTCAATTTTATTAAAACATCAAGTATTAAGTGTGTTTGGTATTAAATGGTTAAAAATGATGTTTGCAAGAGAATTTTTACTAGCTGACTCTGTGATAATATGGGACGCCATATTTGCTTATGGTAGTTCGTTAAAGCTTTGTGATGGATTCTTTTTAGCGATGTTGCACTACATTCGAAATGATATTGTGGAACATGATGATTATATCTATATTATGAAAAGAGTAACTAAATTCCCACCTGTAGAAAATCTTCATAACTTAATTAAATTAGCAGTTAACATTGCTGAAGGAAATTATCCAATTGTTCCTAAACCTCAACAAATACAACAACCAAATATTACCCAAAAATTAACATCCTTCTTACATGGAAAAAAAGATTCATCTAGTCCTCGTCCTTACTCTTCTGTTAATTCTTCTGGACCTATTGGTACTAGGGCATCACCTGCAACACTTGAAGCTGTTAATTCAAATGAAACACCATCATGGATTGTTGAATCACCATGGGGAGAAACACCAAGTACAAAAAAAGCAAACAAAGAAAAGAAAACTAATGAAGAGAGTTATCAATCCCAACAACAACACCAAGTAATCTCTGACGTTATTTCTAAATTAAATGAACAATATAAAAAAGAGCCAATTGATAAAGAAGCAATCAAATTGATTATAAGTGAGTTAAACCAATTAATTGAAAACTAACTTTTTAATTTATTATTTTGTTTTATGTTTTATTAATGCCACAAATAATAAAACAAAATAATAAAACTTAAAATGTTATTCAAAGATGTCAGCAGAGAAATACCTTGATCCCCCTCACTTTATTCAAGAATGGGAAAGCAATGATGAAAGTACTTGGCCTAAACCTCCTGCATGTTTAGGGGATGACGAAACTTATTTTTCTTTTAATAGAACTGTCAAAAGAGAGGAAACTGATTTGTTTCCAAGTGACATACTTGATAGAACAAAAGATGTAAGAGATCAATTAAAACAATTAAATCATTCAATTCTTGTTGCATATCTTGCCATTATTTCTAAACAAATGAATCAACCACATAGGTATGAGGTTATTACGCCTTATGTTTATCACCTTCGGTTATTGATTTCTACGATGCATCAAGCATTAAATTCTTATAGACCGTATCAAGCAAAAAAGTATTATGCTCTTCTTTTTGAAAAACAAGTTGAACATAAAGAAAAATTATATGAACAATTGAAGGCATTAATTGATGATGCAAATAATAAATATAAAAATAATTTTGAAATACCAAAAAAATCAATGGAAGAGTGTTAAATTGATTTATTTGTTTCTTAATGATTTATGTTTTATAAATGATGTAACAAGAAAGAAATTATTAATAGCATATTCAATCAGTGTTTAATTAGAAGAATTTTTATTGAATCAACCCATTTTCTTATTTGAGGGTTATGATGAATTTGTAATAAGGTTAATTCCCATAGACATGAATTAATTGCACCAGAATGGTCTGGTTGTTGGATTGATGGATTATAAATACCAAATCCATTTTCTTGTTCAATAAGACCAATAAAAGTGTCTCGATATCTTTTAAAGATCCAAGTGAGAATAGCACAGAAGTCTAATGCTATAGAAGAGTCACAATTTAACATCATAATTAATATTCTTTTAACAAAAGAAGCGATTCTGACTGGAGGTAATTGTTTAACATCAAGAAGCATAATTTTTAATACACCAACTAATTTTTGTCTATTACCAATATGATGTTCTCCAATAAAATCATCTTGGAATAATAGAATTTGATCCAATACTTTATACATTGATTCATAAAATTGAACATTATCAATTGTAACAAGGAAATTTTGAAGTTTTAATGTATTAAAAATAGTATAACAAACTCTAATAGTATCAATTGGTTGTAATTTATCTGCTTTATTTTCAAGTAATTGTTGTAATAATTTAATAATATCTAACATAAAGTCATAATTAATTTTATGAGTATGAATAGACATTCCTTCCAAAACTAATGGAACCAATGGAGATTCTTGATTTTCTTTTAATACTCTAAAATATGTTCTGAAGATAGTATCTAAAACTAACATATTATATTTCTTTTTTTCTTCAACACTGTATTTTGTTTCAATTAATTTGACATCTTTATCAAGTTTTCTTTCAATTCTTAATTCTTTTAATTTTTTTCTTGATAATTTTTGTTTTTTATGATCAATATTTTTTAATTCTTCTTTTCTTGGGTTAGTTTTAATATTAAATGGATTAATTTCTTCTGATGTTGATTCAACAACAAGAAATGGACGAATAGTATTTGGATTACATTCATAATTTTGTTTTTTAACAGTTTGAGCAATTCTTCTAACTATTTCTAATGTAACATCACCTCTTAAATCATCTTGAATAACTTCTTGTAGTGATTGTGAAATAGGATAATTAAATTCTTCATTTGATGAAAATAAAAATATCATTGAAAGTTCAACTAATGTAATATGAAAATTAAAATGCCAATTTCTTTTTAATAAATCACAAATAACCTTTAATAAAATTTGTGCCATTGCTGTTTTAACAATACTACCTTTAATTAATAATCTTTTAAATGATGGTTTCATAATTTCACTCTTTAATAATGAAATAAATTTCCCATAATATGATATTAAATTTTGTTCAAATGTTACTCTCTTTCTTACTGCAATAGAAAGTGTTCCTTTAGCTGATGTTAATAATTCATTACTTTTAATAATATAATCAGGACGAATATCACAAAATACTTTTGTTAATGAAAAACGAGCTAATCCAGATATAGCCATATTTTTTGAAGAACAAAAAGATAATAATTCTCTTAATTCTAAAGGAAAATCTATTGAAGTAGTATCAGAAATAATTGAAGTACAAAGAAAACCAATTCTTTTTTTTGCAAAATCAAAATTAATAATAGGAGATTCTTCAATTTCATACTTTGGTAATTTATCTCCTTTTAATACATCATTTTCAGTTATATTCATATTACTTTCTCTTTCTTTTCTATCATTTTCATCATTTTCTTGAATTTCATTATCATTAATTATTTCTTCTTGATTTATATCTTCTTCACTCATTTCATATTGTTCATCATCGTAACTCATTTTTTTATCTTATAAGATTTTTTATTTTTTATTACTCTTTTTAAGGTTTTCTAATGTTTTATTAAAATAGTAAAAAAATGATAAAAGAAATGATTTGATAAAAAACAAAAAACAATCAAGGAAATCCCAATAGGTTTTTATGGAACAAAAGCAAAAGAAACATACTCATTTCAAAAAAGCAAAGAAATCATCTGACAAACAAATTATAACCAATAAAACAAAAAAAAGAGAAAACAAGAAACCATTTTCAATTAAACCAAAAATTCTTGAACGACAAAAAATTGAAGAAGAAATTAATGAATTAAATTTAAGAATAAGAAAAGAAACACCACCAAGAGGAGTTAATCCAATTTTAAGTGAATCTAAAATAGGAGAAGATTATTCTATTAGTTATCCTGATGCTAAAAGATTTGATCAATTTCCTATTAGTAAATCAACAATTCAACTTCTTAAGAAAAATCAATTTATTACAATGACACCAATTCAAAGAGCTGCTATTCCACATGCATTAGCTGGAAGAGATATTATTGGAGCTGCAAGAACTGGAAGTGGAAAAACATTAGCATTTTTAATTCCACTTATTGAATTTATGTATCGTTCACGATGGACTGAATTAGATGGATTATGTTCAATTATTTTATCACCAACAAGAGAATTAGCACAACAAATATTTGATGTTTTTGCTTCTATTACAGGAGAACGTTTTACTGCTGCATTAATTACAGGTGGAAAAGATACAAAAGAAGAAGCTAAAGTTATTAGATTAATGAATGTTTTAATTTGTACACCTGGTAGATTACTCTATCATTTAGATAATACACCTCATTTTAATACAACACCTTTAAGAATATTAATTTTAGATGAAGCAGATAGGATTCTTGATATGGGATTTAAGAAAGATCTTACAGCAATATTAGAACATCTTCCTAAACAAAGACAAACAATGTTATTTTCTGCAACACAAACAAAATCTGTTCAAGATTTAATTCGTTTATCATTAAGACATCCAGAATATATTTCTGTTGATGAAAAAGCACAATATGCAACTCCAGAATCATTAAATCAAACATATATGTTACTTGGTGATGGTGATAAAATTAATGTTTTATTTTCATTTATTAGAACACATACTAATTCTAAAATGATTGTTTTCTTCCAAACAACAAAAGAAGTTCGATTTTTCTTTGAAACATTCAAAAAATTAAGAGTTGGAGCAGTTTTATATTTATTATATGGTCGTCAATCACAAAATAGTAGAAATGAACAATTAAGTACATTTACAAAAGAAAAGAGAGGTATTTTATTTTGTACTGATATTGCATCTCGTGGATTAGACATTCAAGGAGTAGATTGGATTGTTCAATATGATTGTCCTGAAGATACAGCTCAATACATCCATAGAGTTGGAAGAACAGCACGTTTAAATCATAATGGTCAAGCATTATTATTACTTACACATAATGAACAAGCATTTATCGAACAATTAGAAAAAGCTAAAGTACCATTGAATAGAGTAGAACCAAATATTGCACGAATGAAGAATATTGCTAATGATATCACTGAGTTAATGATTGAACTTCCAATTATTAAACACTATGCTGAAAAGAGTATTGATGCATATATTTATAGTCTAACAAAGATGCATAACAAAACTGTTTTTGATTCTGAAAAAGTTGATGAAAAAGCAATGAGACAATCTTATGGATTATTTGCTGATAAATTAGAAGAAACAAACAAAGAAGATCATATTAAATTTGAAGATGACGATGACGATGTTGTAGAAGAAGCTGCTACAAAAGCTGAAGAAGAAGAAGAAGATGATGATGATGATCTATTAGAAAAAGCAGATGAACAGATTATTGAAGAAGTCAAACCAAAACAATTCGATATTTCAATTAAACCAAAACGATTAACTAAGAAAGCAATTCACTCAGTTGGAACATACATCAAATTTGAAGACTCTGATAACGAACAAGACGACCAAAATGACTTAGTTGAAAAGATGGAGGAAGAAATGAGAGTTGCTGATATTGAAGATAAAGAAACTGCAAAGAAAGAATTGAAAATTAAACGAATGAAAAAACAAAGTGCACTAACTGGATTTGCAGACGTTGAAATTGCTGACGACAGAAAAAGAAAGATTAGTCTTACTGAATCAATGAAAGAACCAAAAACAAAGAAGACAGCAGAAGAAATGTTACAAGAAAAGTTAAAAGGAAATTCATTACTTTAAAAAACTAGACATTAATTTTGATTGATTTTTTGATTAGAAATTATTTTGTGTTTACTCATAAATCAAATCATATTTAAACATAAAATTGATAATTATTTGATGAATAATTAGATGCCAAAAAATAAGTATTTTTTAATTGAAAATTTACCCTTTTTTTATAAGCATTATATAGATAAATACAATATCTAATCAGTTTTACTATTTAAATTAAATAATAAAAGAACAAAATGAATATCCATTTTTATTTATTTCTTTTCCCTGTCTGTGAGACCCTAAAATATTTCCTTCCTTCGATTCCCACCAGTTATGGACTGGTTATGACGTTGCGTTTGGTTAGAAAAACATCTTACCCAGTACTGCAAGAATAGCAGTGTTTATTATGTACAATGACAGAACATCATTGATAATAAACGAATGGGTATTTATAAAGATGTTATTATTACTTGTTAGAATACAAGTATAATTGATAATATAAGATTATCAAAAGAAAAGGGTCAAGTGGTTGAGGCTAAAAGAATATTAGCCTAAAGCAATACAGTAGTAATTATATATTCTCCTTAAAATAAGAAAATAAAGAAGAAGAAATCTAAACCCAAAGAAGAAGAAATCTAAACCCAAAGAAGAAGAATTTAAACCCAAAGAAGAAGAAATTTAAACGCATCGAAATTAAAAAGAAATTAAATAATGAATATTTAAATAAGGGATGTCTAAAATACTCTATTCCACATCAAAAATGAGAAAAGAAAATTCTCACCGTTCAACAACTAGAAGCAAAGAATAAGCCAAAAGTTGAAGAACAAATACTTTTAAGCGAAGGGATGGGATTAGTCTCCCCTGAGCAAGTAACAATAGAAGATATTTCTATTAATACTTAATTAACTACTTTTTATTCTTTTCCCTGTCTGTGTAAGGGTATTAAAACATAATTCGACCAATAATTAATTATTTATTTTTCATAGTTATTCAAAATAATATATTGATTAACTTGTAGAATTTTTTGTCTTATCCTTGAAGGAAAGAAATTAAAAAACAAATTTTTTATAAATTGTTATTGTAAAAATCGTTTTAAATAACAAAAACTAAAATTGTAAATTACAAATCTTCCATTTCAAACCGAGCAAATTCTTTTGCATATGACTTTCTGTTTTCTTCAATCAAATTGTCAATATTTCTTACATCAAAATTACCAAATTCTCCACCATCAGGTATAGGAGATTCTTTTCTTTTAATTGAAACTTCATTTTTTTTGTTTCGTTTAGTTTTTTCTTTATCTTTGTTAAATGGTTTTCCTATAAGATCATCTTTTTTCATATGGCTTTGTTTCATTCCTCTTTCATCTTCAAAATATCCTGTATCATTGTCACTATCTAATTGGGGAACAAATATGTCTTCTCTACTCTCATCGAATAATGTATCCCAATGAATATCTGAAAAGAACGGATGGTTTTCAATTTGTTTGAAAACAGGTCTCTTTTCTGGTTCAGGACATAACAACTTTGAAACTAAGTCCTTACAATCATCACTCACATCAACATCTTCTGGCCATTCATACACTCCTTGTTGAATTTTCATAAAGATTGCTTCAGGGGTTGAAGCATTAAAAGGAGGATATCCTACAACAAATTCATAAAGCATACAACCTAAAGCAAAATAATCGCTTGCAAAAGAATATGAGTTAGATATTAAGATTTCAGGTGCTGCATAATCCGGAGTACAGAAAATACCAGTCTTACCAGCGGTTTCTTGAGAAACCAGTCCATATGAAGATAAGCCAAAATCAGTTAATACAAGATGTCCATTACGATTAATTAATATATTATCTGGTTTAATATCTTTATGTACACATCCTAGTGCATGTATATAATGTAAAGAAAGTAATATTTCTGCAGAATAAACATGGGCAACATACTCATTAAAACTTCCGATATGTTCTAATAATGTTGCAAGATCTCCACCTGGACAATATTCCATAACAAGATATAAATTAATGTCATCTTGAAAAGCATAATACAATTTAACAACACTAATATTATGTGCTTTTGAAAGGAAATTCTTTTCAACTAATACAGAATCAACTACATTTTTACGAATCATATCATCTTTCTTCATTACTTTCATAGCATAAACATCTCCTGTAGATTTCTTTTTTACAAGATAAATTCTGCTATATGCACCTGCACTGAATTTCTTAATAATATCAAAATCAGTTACACTAACCGCTGTTCCTGTTGATAGTTGAAGTAATTCTTGTTTATTACCTTTACTTGATAAAACAGAAATAAAACTCCATAAATTCTTTGACCCTTTGCTTTCAGCATATTCTTTAAGTAAGTTTTGATACGATGTTAGTAAATCTCCAATAGCACGAGCAAACGTTAATAGTGGAATATCAGTAACATCAACACATAATGTCCTTATCGCTTCAATAATTTTTTGTAATTTATCTATACTTAATGGAGTTTTAAAGTTTGGAACTAATTCTGTTAACTGGGTATATTTAAAAGTATCTTTAACCATTTGGCATTGATAAGATTCTCTTAAATAATTCATTACCATTTCTATTCTTTGTAAACAAGTCGTTTCTTTGAGATATCCACGTGTAATAACTTCACAAAGCCTAGTGTGATCACAAAATTGAGAAAGTTTGTATTGATGTTCACATAACCTACACACAAGTAATTTAGATGAGTCAATGGCTGAAGTAGGAATAAGTCTTGGAATTGTTTGTTTTTCTTGTAATTGTTGAATGGCAGTGTGTCCTTCAAAACAATAAAGTTTGTATAATTTATGAATATTAATATACACCCAAGTAATTCTTTGAACACTAGCTGATGTAGTATATTCTTTACTTATCACTAATAATTTTTGAAACATATCCTCTACTTTCTTTCCTTCAAGAAAATCATTTAGTTGTAACGACCGTAATTCCTCAAAGAAACTAAAGTGTTCTGGTTTGATTTCTTTACAGTCAACTAAGAAATATGGAAAGATTTCATTCATTTCATTTCTAAATCGTTCATAGATCATAGTAATAATGTTTTTATAAGTATTTGATGCATCATTATCATATATTCTAGAAAATCTTTTTGTTTCAGTTGTTCGTTTCATTGTTGCTGAAGCAACTGTTAAAGGAGACATTGGACGAGTTCTTGGTTTTGTTGAATGGTTAGTTATTTTTAATTTTGTTCTAATGGGTTGATCAGAAATCTTACTCCTCATTAATGTACTATCTTGGATAGAACTTAACCATCCAAGAAAGTCATCATCACTTTCAACATATAGGCAACAGAGAGTTAAATTATTACGAGATATTGTCATTACATTTGGCCCCTTATCTAATACTGGTTTAACATTACAACCTTTTAAACAATACACATCAATAGGATCTTCATATACTAATAAGTCTTTAGCATTTTCAAATAATGCAATGACATTAGAGGCTAATACACAATACCTTTTCTTCCATCGTTTGAAGACAGAACTTTCTTTAAATACATATCCTGCTTTTTTTTGTTTAGAAAAGCTAATTAAATGATGATCAGGAGGTTGTGTAAACCATTCGATAACAACCATATCATTTAAAATATTAGGTAATTTAACAACATTTTCTAAGTAATTAGATAATTCTTTTGATCTTTTATGAATAACATCTGGATGAGAACCAGAATGAAGAATTTCTTTTGGAGGTAAAGATGGTAATTTAATCTTAGGGTATTTCATATGGAGATAATTGTCAAGGAAATAAAATTGTGAATACCTTTTTTGAATAGCACTAGTGTGTGTATCATATTGAACATTAAAAAAATACATTCCAACAACTCCCGGAGAAAATATTGACGATATATCTATTTGTAATTCACACTTTAGAAACGTAATCGAAATAACATTTAGTGCTGTTTGATTAACTCTTCTTACATCACAACTTACTCGTTCTCTTAATGTATTATCAGGTGAAACAGATGGAGTTGCAGTTTTTGTTTTATTTGAACGGTCAAATGGAGCAATAATGATAGTATTTCGAGGTGTTTCACTATGTCTCATGATAAACAATGGATTATCGATTATTCAGTTCATTTCATTATTTCCTAAAGTAAAAAATTCTTTTGTTTTTTTTTCTTTTTTACCAATTACTATTTTTTGCCATTTTAAAAACAATTTTAATAAACTTTTTGTAACTATTTCTATTCTTTATTCTTTTATTGTTTTGTTTTTTCTTTTAAATATAAAATAGCTTCTGAAAGAACATCACTTCTTTTTTTGTTTTCTTGTGTTTTCTTCCTCTTTTAAACTACCTTGTTATCTTCCTTCTTTTTGTTTCTTTTTTCTGCTTTTGTGGTTCCACGTAATTTCTAATTACTTTTTCATTAAATAAAAAAATAATGTTTTTGGTTAAACAGTTCTTATTTTGACTATTGTAAAATTAACTAACCCAACAATCCAGAATCAAATTAGATTAAAATAAAATCAGTTTTATAACAATCAGTCAAATGAAATGAAACTTCATTTTTTTTTAATTGTCTACATCAGAAAGACTTCCTTTTGGACATTCTAAATCAGCACTAATTTCAAAATTATTCATACTTGAAATCTTTTTATATGGTCCTTGTATGAAAAATTGTTCAATATATTGAGAAACCATCTTTAATGCTGGCATCTGTGATAACACTCCTGGTGTTTGTGCCTTTTCAATTTCTCCCCATGGAACAATAATATCAGCTCTTTTACGTTGTGGATAAACCCATTTATCATATGCAGGTTTAACAAATTTTTTATATTGAAACAATACTGAGTCAAGTGTTCTTCCACGATAATTCATATCTCTTAAAATTCTTCTTGCAAGTCTAGTGTCATTATCAGATTCAATAAATATCTTTAAATCAAACATGTCAAAATAATTTTCATAACCTTTCATTTGATAAAATGTATATAATCCTTCAAATATTACTACGTCTCCTGTTTCAACTGGAACCCAATCTGGTTTTCTTGAATGGGTAACATAATCATATACTGGTAATGATACACTTTTCTTTGCTTTTATTTTTTTTAATGTTTCAATTATTAAATTCCAATCAAATGAACTTGGAGAATCAAAATTATATTCAGCAACATTATCATGTTCTTCTTTTGTTAATGGTCTATAAAATGAATCTTGTGAAATAACTACAAATTTCTCTCCTTTTAATGTATTTGCAATTTCTTGACAGAACGTTGTTTTTCCTGAAGCAGTTCCACCAGCAACAGCAATGAGTACAGTTGGATTATTATAGAAATGATATCTTACAGTACTACTCATAAGTACGGTAATAAACTTATAAAAAAAACCTAAGGGTTTTTATTTTTATATAGATCATTTTTGATGTATTAATTAAATGAATTTTTTCTAAAAAAGAATAATAAGTTCATGCTTACTTAAAAAATATAGAAAAATAAATTGATTGAACTTTAAAAAAATAATAGTCATTAATGACATTTTAATATTTTTAAATCTATCAAATAACAATATTTTAAAAAATTAATAATCTTAGAATATTTATTATCATGAAAGAACAAGATATAGCAAAAAGTATTGAAGCACAATCAACTAATGTTTGGAATGTTATATTATGGTATTTCTTTGAAATTAGTTACCATTTTTATAATTGTATTGTTAATGTAACTGTTGGTCCGTCATTACAATTATTATCAATATATGCAGGATATGAAAATTCGACTGGTGTTCAAATGACAACTGTTTGTAATGCTGTTGCTAATTGTATTGCTATGGTTGCTTCTCCTTTTGTAGGAGGTCTTAGTGACTATTATTCATTTCGTAAAGGTGCAGTATTAATTTGTGCAACTACATATTATACATGTTTTTTGATTGCTGGTGTATTTTATTATCATTTTTGGTTACTTTGTATATTGTTTTGTATTGCAAGAACATCTTTTGAGTTAGTACGTTTGTTCTACGATTGTCAAATTCCATATATTATGGATCAAAAAAATAGAACATTAGCACAAAGTGTTGGAGGTGCAGTTTCTTTTACTGGTGCAATTCTTGCTATTGGTGTTTCATTTTGTTGTTCTCTTGTTTGGGGAAACTACTCAAATGTTAATCAATTACAAATTACACATGCAGAACCTGATTTTGGTCCATTAAGACAATTAATTTTATTTAACTTTTTCCTTGGTGGATATGTCTTCTTACCATATGTCTTTAGTATAGAAAAAAGTACTCCACCAGCTAAACGTTCTGTTATACAAACATTAAAAGTTATTGGATTAGATTTGATTGATTCATTCAAAAATTATTTTAAGAGTAGAGATTGTGTATTTATGTTTATTTCATGGTGTTGTACATTATCTGCATTAAGTGTTGTAAATGGATTATTTGTTGTTTTACTAACAACAATGTGTGGAATGAAAAAAACTGCAACAGATATTGTATTCTTAGCTTTAAATGTAACTGCATTACTTTGTGGTGTTCCATGGGCATTTTTCTTACATAAATTTGGACCAAAGAGAGCATTACAATTAATGTTGATATTGTTATTCTTTGGAATGGGATGTCTTGTTCTCACTGGAATGAAAGTTTCAAGTACTAAAATACTTTCACAATGGATTATTATCCCAACAATAATATTTATTGGTCCAGCATTTAGTGTAGTTTATACTGCTTCACGTCAATTAGTTATGGAACTTGCTCCTGTTCAACAATTAGCACAATTTTCTGCTGTTACTCGTATTGCTGCAAGAGCTGGTGGAATGGTATTCCCATTAATCTTCTCAACAATAGTAAAACAACTTTGTGCACATGCATTTTCTACTAGCAAGTATAAATACAATTATGCATATCGTATTGCTCAAATCCCTGTGTTTATTCTTCTTATTGTTGCTTTCTTCTTTATGTGTTTAGTTAAAAATCATCATAAAGAATATGTCTCTGGTAAACGTGCACCATATTCTAAAGAAACTGATATCGAATTGAATGAAGACCTAAATAATCTGCCTTCTCCTCGATTATTATCCCAATATGAACAACCAAAATCCCAAGAAGAAGAAGAATATTCTGTCTCATCAATTGGTTATACAATTCAAGACAATCCTATAGAATTATAATTTAATCTTCCAAAATAATTGTCAAATAAATTATCTGAATAGAAAGAAAATAATTTTATTTTTACAATGAACTGGAAAAGTTTGATTTAACAATCTTAAAAAAATAGAAAAATAAAATTAGAACAATCTTTAATTATATAAAATGGCTTTCCATGTAGATAAAACTCTCTCTAAACTTTTTAAAACAGCTTTTGAAAAACAAAAAGAGGAAAGTTATGAAGAGAGATTTATTACACCAGATACAACCAACTTACTTTTTCATAACATTTCTCCATCTGAAGAAAAAACACCTGAAGAATATTTTATTCATTATAGTAAATATTATGCCAATGTATGTTTCAGTACATATCCAGTAATGAATGGTGCTAAATTTGGGAAGCCAATTGCTGACTGTACTATGATAGATGTATATAAAAATATGGTTATCATGTCTATTGCTGATGGTTGTGGTATGGGTTCTAGACCAGCAAAATCAGCCCGTGTTGCATGTGAGAAATTTAGTGAATACATAACATCTGAAGTACCAAAAGAAAAGACTATTGACAAGGTTTTAAGAATTATTAATGACTCAATGGCATATGTTCAAGAAAATATCTTACTTACAGAAGACAGTCCTATGGATGCTGGATTAACAACGTTCCAAGGAGTAGTAGTATTACGAGTTGACTCAACTACTTTTGCTGTATGTTATGTTAATATTGGAGATTGTAGAGGGTTGTTGGTTCATCGAACAAATGAAAAGTGTGAAGAGTTAGTAGAAGGATATTCCACTCGTGTTGATGTAAAGACTACTGGAGGAAGATTAGGACCTGTTGAAGGAGAACAGCCTGAGCTAGATAATTATCGATGTGGAGTACAGTTTGTTCAACCAGGAACTTCTATTATAATTATGACAGATGGTATTTGTGATAATTTTGATATTAGGATGTTTAATGACAGTCCAAAAGATTGTGGTCTTCCAGGTGAGGAATGGTCAGATGATAATTCTACTCAAACAGAAAAAAGAAAACAGGAATTATATCAAAGTTTGATTACATTATATCTTGAACCATCTTTAGTTCAGTTATGTCAAAACGTTTATGATTTTGTTGTTGACAAAACACAAGAACAACGCACTCTTAAAATTGAAGCTTCAAAAACTAAATCTAAGACACCAAACAATCAAATCCTTCACGGAAAAATGGACCATTCTACTTTGTGCGTATTGGTTTTAAATGATGGGTTATTTACTAAAACCACTCTTAACCAATTAGGATTAGAAATCCCAAACAGCATGAAAGTTTAATAAACAGTATAATACCATTTTTAAAACATTTTCATATTGTTTTTTGTTATATTTTTCAATATTTTTTTTTAAATTTTAAATAATGTTTATTATAGAATTGTTATAAATGAATAATTGAAAATATTAAAAGAAATAAAAAGAAGTATCAAATAAGTAAAAAGAGCTATAAAAGAAAAAAGAAATTTTTTTACAACCCTATCGTAAAAAACAATAGTTCTTACAATGCCAAAGAGAGGAGCTGGAGGAAGACAAGGAAATAAATTCAGAGTTACTTGCGGTTTGAATAATGCTTCAACCGTTAACTGTGCTGATAACACTGGTGCTAAGACTCTTACAATTATTTCCGTTAAAGGATTCCATGGAAGATTAAACAGACTCCCAAGAGCTGGATGTGGTGATATGGTAGTTGCTACTTGTAAGAAGGGTAAACCAGAATACAGAAAGAAGATGCATACTGCTGTTATCATCAGACAAAGAAGAACCTGGAGAAGAAAGGATGGTGTTACATTATACTTTGAAGATAATGCTGCTGTTATTGTTAACATGAAAGGAGAAATGAAAGGTTCAGCCATTACTGGACCAGTTTCAAAAGAATCAGCTGATTTATGGCCAAAAATTTCTTCTAATGCTCCAACCATTGTCTAAAAAATGGAATGAATTAACTTCTTGTTAAATGACTTTTTTCTTTTAAAACTAATTTTTGTAAATAGTAAGAAACTAAAACAATCAATTTATTGTTCAAATGTTCGTTTGTTTGCACAGACTATATTTGTAAATGTTTGGGCATCTTCATTATCTTTCCACCATGAATATAATTCAAACCATGTTGCTATATTTTCTGCTCGGTGAACGATTTTAGTTGGAAGTCCTGCCATTTCAGCTACTTTCATACCATAAGATTTTGGACATGCACCATCTAATAATGTATACAAAAAAATTATTTGGTTGTTTTGAATTGTACATCCCATATGACTTAATTTAACATCTCCACGTTCCTCAAACTCTTCGCATAGTTGATGGTAATGTGTTGAAACAATCATTAATGGCTTAATTTTTGAGACTGTGTATTCAACTACTGCATGAGCAATAGCTAACCCATCATGAGTAGATGTACCTCTTCCTAGTTCATCTAATACAACCAAAGAATCTTGTGTAGCATCATGTAGCATTTGAGCTGTTTCGTCTAACTCTACCATAAAAGTACTCATCCCGTGTAAAATATCATCTGAAGCTCCAATACGAGTAAAGATATGATCAACAACTGACATAGTAATTTCTTCACCAGTACATCTCATTCCCATTTGAGCCATGATAACAGCAAGACATACTGTTCTTAATAATGTAGATTTACCTCCCATATTTGGTCCAGTTAAAATAATAGTTTGAGGATCAGTACCTCCAAGAATAATATTAGAAGGAATTGCATTTGTTTTAGTTGAAACAGTCAAGTATGGATGCTTTAACTGTTTTGCATTAAAGTATGGAGTTGTAATAGATGTTGGTTCAGGGTCTTTTCCATATGAATAAATCATTCCATTTTTAATGAAAGAAGGAACACATGATGTTTCCATTGATTGAGAACAACGAGCGATTGAAACAAAACAATCAATCAATCCAATATTAGTAATTGCTCTTGATAATACTAAAGTACTTGATACTTCATTAATTAATTGATTGAATAAAGTATGATGAGAGTCATTAATCTGTTTTTCATTTAAATCATACTCTGTTTGGATATTACTAACTTTAGAACTCATAAGTCGTGCTTCACTTTTGATTTTATTGACTTCAGTATATCCACTAGGTAATTTAGTATGTTTTTTTAGATAAGACTCATAACGTTTAATTGGTAATGCAATTAAATGGTCATCACCTCCAATACTTACATACTTTGCTTCTTCAAAGATTTTTTGAATTGAAACTAATTCCTTAGCAAATTCATTTTCTAATTCATTTCTTCTTTCAAAAGCATGATCTATTTCTTCATTATATCCATTAAAGAAAGTAATAGCATGTTCTTCTTTTGCTTTTGTAAAATCATAGATACTTTCTAACTTAGAAATAAATTCTTCAAGATTAGGATATCCTAAATTGTTTTTATCTAAAACAATTGTTTGAAGTACTTCTGGCATATCTTTTACTATAGCCTTTAATTCATTTATTAATTTTTGACATGTTTCAAACCCTGATACCATACGAATAAAATTAGATTCAGTTATTGTTAATGATGTGCATTGACTTAACAATCGTTCAAGATCAGGTATTACTCTTAAAAATGTTCCTATTTGATCAATTAAATCATTGTTTTCTAAAAAGAATTCAACTACTTCTTGTCTATGAAGAATCTTATTAACATCCATTAATGGTTTTAATAAAAATCTTTCTCGTAACATTCGTTTACCAAATGCTGTAAAACAGTTATCTACAAAATGAAGAAGTGTACCTTCTACTTCTTTTCCTTTACTAGCAAATAAAGCTAAATTAACAATGCTCTGTGCATCAACAATAAGATAATCCTGAGATAATGTTGTATATTCTCCAAAAGTTCCATTAATTATAATTGTCTTTGGGATTAATAAAGTAGTAAAATAATTATAAAGAATAGTAAAGGCTGTCATCACTTGATCGTTAGTACTATACTTCTCAATAACTTTAGGTACTCTTCCTCTATTGGCAAATAATGGCAATACTCCACTAATATCTTCTGGCTCTTTTACATATGTTATTTCTGCAAATTTAAGATTTTTACAAATATGAGCAATATCATCTGAAATACTGTTTAATAATAAGATTTCTTTTGGATGTACTCTATGTAACAAAGTATGAAGACTATTATGTAATTCTGTATCTTCTAAGTATCCTAAGAATACTCTACCAACAGATGCATCACCATAACACACTCCAACATCACATCCATTTGATACGATAGCCATACAAAACATATCACTAGTATCAGAGCATAATTCTGGTTCTGTTGCAGTAGAAACAGTGTATATTCTTGTCAACTCTCTACGAACAATATTTGGTTCTCTTTTACCATTAACAATTATTGTTGCTCCTCTTTTCTTTGATTCTTCTGAAGTTTCTTTTTCATCTACACAACCTACTTTATATCCTAATTCAAGTAATTTTGATGCATATGTATTGAATGATGCTTTTGGTACACCAGCCATTCTCATATTAACTCTATTAGTAATTTTAAGTCCTAATTCTTTGTTACCAATATCAGCATCATTTTCATATAATTCATAAAACTTTCCTTTAGCAAAAAAAACTACAACGTCATAATTATCTTTTTTTATGTTCCAATATTGTTTTTCAAATGGTGTCATTTTCATCAAACAACTTGCAGGGATAAATAATGTAGATGGATCATATCCTTGCTCTCCAATACTTTTCTGATTTTTATCTTTGATATTTATTAGAAAAGAGTACCTCTCACTTCCGATTTCTGCTTCTATTTGTTTATGTAATTCTTCTCGTTTAGCTGTATTAAACATTCCATCTTTAAACTTTAATTTAGATTGGATACTCATCACTTTATTTTTTAAGATTTTTTTCCTTTATTTTTAATTGAACCTTTTATGAACCCTCAATATTATTTCACATAATAAACTTTTAAAAATTAAGAAAAAACGATTAGTTTCATATTATTTTAAATCAGAAAGTACATCTTTTACGACGTTAACAGTTTCATCATGAAGAGTTCCATTAGAAGCAACAATACCATGATTATGACAAAGAGTTCTTCCAAGTGAAAAGTCAAGATCATTACCATAAATATCAGTAACTTTTCCACCAGCTTCTTTGACAATTAAATAACCAGCAGCATGGTCCCAAATCTTTTCTTGATAAGAAAGATTGCGTGGAAGTCTTAAATAAACATCAGCCTTACCAGATGCAATTGCCATGTACTTACATTGAGAATCCATACGTACTGGTGGTTTAGTAACTTGTAACCTCTCAGTAATAGTTTTAGAACGAGATTGGTCAGTGTGAGATACTTCAACAGATTCACAGAAACACATGTCAGATGTTTTTGGAGTAGTTGAGACATGAATATTTTTTCCATTTTTAATATCATTCACAGTAAACATCTTAGCTCCACATCCTTTTTGTGCTGCAACAATTAAACCACCTTCAAAATTAGGACATCCAAGAACTCCAACTTTAATATCACCATCAATCATAAATGCTAAACAAACAGCGTATTGTTCTCTTCTTAAAAATCCAAGAGTTCCATCAATTGGATCTAATACCCAATATCTTCCTTTTCCACCAGCACCATTTCCAAGATCAATACATTTTCTAACTTCTTCATCTTTCATATCTGAATGCATTTGAACATGTTTACAAACTTTAGCAAATATATCATCTGGAATAGTTTTAGTATCTTCTTCAGCAACAATTTTATCTTCTGGGAAGTTTTCATGAATTTTCTTATTTACATAAGCTTGGACTGAATAATCTCCAACTGTTACTGGTGATTTATCATTTTTAATTTGAGTTTGATCAGTTAATGTATGTTCTGCTACTGAAGTAGTGATTCTACATGATACTTGTACAATTTCTAAAGCAAGTGCAAGTTCTTTATCAAATGACATTTTGTTTATTTCATTTTAATTTTTAGTTCTTATTTCCATCCTGAAAAGGTTCAAAAAATGAACTTCTTTTTTTCTTTCTTTCTTAATTGAATTTTATATTTTTTTATTATTCTTGTAATATAAAACAAAATTATTATGTTTTCGTTTATTTATTTTAATTATTTATAAAATATTTATTGTAACAAAATATTATTAAATACCTTTGAAAATCCTGACAATAATTTATTCAAAAAAAATATCAAGGGGTATCTTGTATTTAGAATTAACAAAATCTTGAGATTTTAATTAGTTTTTTTATTAAATGAGTTTATTTTGAAATTAATTTTTTATTAATTGTTTTTCATTAATTAATCTTTTATTTTAAATAAGGAAAAGAAAAATTTATTATTTTTTAAATATTTTTTTTCATAAATATAGAAGTATTAAATGACAAGTCAAAAATATTTCTTTTTTTAGTTTTTAATAACAGAAAACGAAAAAAGAATATCAATAACTACAAGATCTAAAAATCATTAAGATCAATTTTTAGTTTTAAAAGAAGATAATGAAATTTAAAGGATAAAAGAATAAAAAAATAAGAAAAAGAAATAGAGATAATTACCAATAAAAGAATAAAAAGAAATGAAGAAGAAAAACAATTCGATTTTTATCAACAATTTTCAAGTTTATTGTCGTTCACCTCTAATTCTACGGGCTAGTTGCATATCTTTTGGCATAATAGTAACTCTTTTAGCATGAAGTGAACATAAATTAGTATCTTCAAAAAGACCAACAAGATAAGCTTCAGCAGCTTCTTGAAGAGCAGCAATAGCAGCAGACTGGAACCTTAAATCTGATTTTGATTGTTGAGCAATTTCTCTAACTAAATGTTGGAATGGTAATTTTCTCAATAAAAGTTCTGTTGAACGTTGATAAAATTTAATTTCTTGTAAAGCTTTAATTCCTGGATGAGAATGTCTTGCTACAGGTTTCTTTTGTGAAACTCCAGCAACTGCTTTCTTTGAAGAAACAGCTGCTTTTTTAGAAGCAGATTTAGGTGCATAATATTTTCTTGGTTGCTTAGAAGTGGTTGGTCTCTCAGTATTATTTCCTTTTGTTCTTGCCATTTGAGTAGATTTGATTTATATTTTGAGATTGAAGGATTTAAATAGTTCCTTTTTTAATGGACAATTAAAAATTTTAAGGTTTTGTGAAAACCCTAAAAGAGAAAAAGGAGATTAGATTTTCTTTTTTCTCTTTTTGTTGAAACCCAATAAAAATAATAAAAATAGAAATAATTTGTGTTTTAGAATGAGAGTAAAAGACTCAAGAATGTTAAGTTTAGAACTTAGAAATAAAAAAATGAAAGAAAAGTAAAAAGAAATTCTAAAAAAAAGAAAAGTGAAGAACTTGATGAAATCAATAATGTCGTATTTGAAACGAAGTGGGGTGAAATCGAACGGGGTATCTGTTAATCGACTTATTAAAGGAGGAGTTAATAATTTAAAGAAGATATTAAATAACATTGATTGTGTTAGTGAATTACGTTGTAATGACAGTCTACAAGATTAGTTTGTTATTATGAATAAAAAAAGGGTATAACAAAAAAAAGAGAAATATACCTAAAATTTAAAAGAATTTAATTAACTTTTTATTTAGTTTTTGTAGTGAAGAAATTATAACACAATTAATAAATTATGTTTGTGGGATAGAAGTAAGTACAGAAGAATTACAAAGTAATGCAACGAAAGTATTATGTAGTAATCTTCAAAAAATTAAAAATTATTTATTTGAAAAAAATGATTTCTTAATTGCATTGATTGAAACAATTGATTCAGAAAATACTAATACTCTTAGTTGTATTATTAAAGTAATAGATGAATTACTTGTTTCTAATAATTCTACAATGTTTCAAGTTATAGTAGAACAAGAATTACCAATTGATGAATTAATGAAATGTTTAGATATTGACGAAGTATATTTATTATTAACTGATTTATTAAGATATAAAGAACAAGAACAATTTGTTGGAATTGAATGGCTTTCAAAACAATGTCTTATTGATAAATTACTTAGTGTATTCATACAACAAGGAAATTATGGAGATGACTATGATGAAATTATGATTTATAATGTTACATTACTTTTTCAAACAATTTCTATTATTAAATGTGTTTCTATTAATCTTCAATTTAATACTAATGAACTTATTAAACCATTTTATAAAACAATTTTCACTTCCGTTTGTTTTAATTTTTTCATTTATTTAATTAAAATAATAAAATTAATATTTATCATTAAGACAAGTAAAGGGTTTGTTCAAAATGGACTCGACATTATTTTTTCAATGCTTAAAGGTTGTATTAATGATCAAATTATTATTGAACCAGAATATGTTCCAATTTGTTTAAAAGAACTTTTTAAATATTCTGATTATATCACACATCATTTAAATTACATTAACGGAAATATTACTACTGAAAGAGTTCAATTAATTGGAATTATTCAATTAATGATTAATTCACGGTATCAATCAATTTTACAAGATATACTTAATAGACATTGGATTGATTATTGTATTGTTTGTGTTTATATTATAACTAATGTTAGTATAAAAATCTAATCAATAGAATACATTTTATAGTTATGAACATCTATCAACAATTTATCGTCAAACAATTTTTGATATACTCAATAGCATTTTTCAAGAGAATGGAATTGAATGTCTTGGTTTAGCATTATTAAACAATGATTTAATTCAACGAATGATAAAAGAAGATCAAAAATCACAAGAATATTAGTTTGTTATTATCTATATTATTTTAATATTCATTAATATAAATATTTTAAATTAATTCTTATAGTAAAATACATCACTGTTATTTTGATTGTCATATTTTCAATGTTTATTTAATGAATAATTTATATCTTTTAGCTACTAAAAACAAATCAACTAAATGTGGTCAATTAATATCAAATGATAATTGTTTTATTAATTATTTCAAGACAGTTGTTGAAAAAAGAGAACAGGATCTTCCAATTGAATTCTTTATATCAAAAGAAATAGATCTGTTAAAAACTCCAGATGACTTTTCAGAAGGTGTGGATGATGATGATTTATAATTGTGAAATTAAATATTTTTTAAATACCATTGAAGTTAATTGTTTTCATTTTTTATTTCTTTCACAAAAACATCTACTTCTCCAATTTCTTTATTATCACCTTGTGGTAGATGATCTTGATATAATTCTTTTGCTAAAAGTTTTATAATATTTGTATATAAAGACGTCCCTTCACAAAATTCTTTTGGGTAGTGAGCTTGTAAATATTGTAATTGTTTTTGAATCATTTGACCAATATCCTTGTTTAGTTGATAACATCTTAATAATATTTGGATACCCTCTTTTTCAATAATTTCATTAAAACTCTTTTCTCGTTGTAAATAAATTAGTTCAAGTGTAATTTGAGCAATAATATTTGTTTCTTTTTCATTGATAGTAATATTCGATAATTGTTCAATGACTTTATTTATTTGGATTTCTGGTTTTTTACAAAGAGATAACCACTCTTTTTCTATTGAATGGTTTAATATCATTGTTTTAATTGATTCATTTAAACAATCTTCCCACCCTTCATTTGTTTCACTTGTTTTTACAGCTAATATTAATGTTTTAATAATTGAATCTCTTGCTTTACCACTTGGTAAGTGTTGAATAAATGAACATACTGTTTTGACTGTTAAAGAGTTGACTGTTTTTAATAATTCATTACAAGCAATTGGCATTAAAATTGGTTTCTTTTCAACAATACGTTGAACAGCAGTTGGGTTATTAGTCATATTTTCAAAAAATGATTGTACAAGATGATCAATAGGAGTAAAATGTTCATATGGTTGAGAAGAAATAAAATCGATCAATTTTTCTATATCTATTGGAATATTTGCCATTAACGAATAGATAATAGTGTTGAAACATAATTCAAAGAATGAGAATGATTCAATTGCAAAAGTTTTTTCATTTAATAATAATGGAATAATATTCATTAATTGTTCTGATTTAGAAAATATAATGAGTTGTAATACAGTAAGAATTTCTAGTCTTTCCTTTTCATTTACTTCTTTAATAAGGTTAATAAGAAATTTAATAAATTTAATAACACTATCGTTATTTAATTGTTTAAATAAATCAATGTTTTTAGTTTGATCTTTAATATATTCTTTTATTTTATCATGATTAGAATTATTATATAAAAAGGTACTAAACCAACTACTTTCTTCTTGTTTTATTTGAATAAATGAAATAAATGGTTTACACTTATTTTTAATAATAAAATCATATGCTTCTAATTTAGCAATACACAACACAACTTCTTTAACTTCAACAAGAAAAGGAAGGGTTTTACTTATTTGTTGAATTAAAGTAATTGTAGCACTTAATTTTGTTGGTTCATAAAAGAATTTATCTTCTGTTAATATTCCACTCAATTGAAGTAATTGATGGATAGAATTTTTAATAATAACACATTCATCAAATTGTATAGAATGAAGAATAATTTGTTCATATAAACTTTTTTCTATTCTACTAAACTGCTCTGATTTAGCTAATGCACTGAGAATTAAATTGCAAAAAATATTATAAAATTGACTATAAACTTCTGTATTAACTTCAACTTCTTTTCTACACAATGATTCTCTTAATTCTATTTCTTCATTTAATAACTGTGTTGGAATTGTAGTTGGTAATCTGTTCAATACAATTAAAGGATGAGAAGAAGTAAATAAGAAAATAATTTTTAATTCATTTTTATCACAATGATTTTCTTTTAAAATATTTAAATATTCTTCAAATGAAGAAGGTTTTGATAATACTTCAATAAATGCATTTGAAATATCATTAAAAGAACATTTTTCATGTGGGTGTTCATTTATATATTCTTTAGCAAAAAGATCGAATAACTTCTTTGTTTTTAATTTATCTTGAGGTAAACAAATATTCTTTATAATAGAAATAAATGCTTGACTTAATGACAATGTTGCATATCCTATTTTTTTAATGTAATCAATAAATACTTTTTCATTAAATTCATTTGATTGTAAAAAATATTCTACCATTTTAATTTTATTAATTTGTGGTATTTCTATAAACATCTGAGCAATGATATCAGTTGTTTTCTCTTTTAAATTATTTAATTTTAAATATTCATCAATACCAACTTCAAAACTATCATTAAATAATGCACCAATAACTCTCCATTCTTTTTTTCTATTTAATGCAGTTTTCCAATCAAAATTATCATTTTGTTTAAATGGTACAATCATTTGAAGACATTGTAAAGTTAAAGGAAGAAGTAATTGATAGCCTTGGGCATTAATTTGTTTAAATAATGTCATCATAAAAAATTGAAAAAAGTCAGTACAATATTCATCACAATCATAATTAATATACAGTTTTGCCATACAATTATTCATTGATAACACATTTGTAAGATTAGTATAAACACATTGTAATATTTGATCTCCTCTTTCCTTGGGAATTTCATATTTAGAATCTGTACGATCATTATAAATATGTTCTATTAAATAAATCATTTGAACAAGATAACTTTCCATTTCTACTTTCAATTTGAATGAACCATTAAAAATGTCGTTTAAAAATGAAAATACTTCTTGAGAAAGATAATATTCTTCAGTGGAAATAATATTTTGAAGAGATATTAAAGTAAGTAAATGAGGAATAATATCTTTTTTAAAGGTTTTAAAAATTGAATTTGTTTGTTCAATTAAAAGATAATATTCATTATAAATATCGTGTATTTGACGAATAACTAACATGTAAATCTTTTCATATTCACAATAATTATAATTTAAACAAAATAATAGAAAATCATGTAGTTGAGAACTATTTTCTGTTTGAATAAAATATGAAATTTTTGAATGTAGAACATTATTTAAACATTCTAATATTATAGCAACATTATTGTTTATAAATAAATTTGTAGTACTATTAATTAAGTTACCATATAATTGAATAAACCATTTAATACTTTTTCGAAGAATACATATGTCATTTTCATATTCTAAACAATCTTTTAAGAAAAGTAATTTTTGAATAATGACTTTATCTTTTTGTTCAATTTCTTTAATTTGTATAAGAATAAATGAAGAAATAAAATATTTTGCTTTATCAATACTATTTAAAAATTTTAATATTTTTCTCATTGCAACACATACAATTAAATGTACTTCCTCTGGTATTTCTTTTGTTTGTAAAATAACTAAAAAAGTTGTTAGTATAACTACAACATTTTCTTCTGTAATATTAGTTTTATATCGTTGTTCATAAATTTGTAATGCATTAACAATATGATTCCTTACTAAAGGTTCTTGGTTTAACGTTAATTTGTTAATTTCTTTCATCTCATTATAAGTAAGTTTAAGAATAAGTGGATAATTGTTTAAAGTCATTCTTTTCCTTTTCCTAGTTATTGCCTTTTATCTTTTTTTTTTTTTCTTATATCTCTTTTTTTATCATTTTAGTTATTCTTTTTTTTTGTTTTATATCCAAAAAACTATTAATAGATACTCATTAGATTCCTTTTCATTTCATTTCCTTCTGATAAAACGTCAAATCACCCATAATAACGTATTTACACGTCATCATCTAACTTGATCTTAAATAAAAAGGATGAAAGAAGTAATCTTGTTATTTACTTATTAATGTCAATTCCTGACGCACCAATTGTACAATCACTTGAAGCAATTTCTCCTTCACAAAATAACCAACAATTAGCTAAACCTGAACCAAAATGGATTCATCTATCTCGATACTTATCAAAGACCTCACAAAATCGAGTTTTTGTTGATCCTAGTGGAGTTGGACATTTTAATTCCATGACATGGGAACCTCCATGTGAATTATTAGATTGTGGAACAAGTTATTTACTTAAATTTGAAGTTCCTGGTATTGATAAAAAGTCTTTGTCTTTACAATATAGCAATAATTGGGTTATTGTTTCAGGTAATAAGAACATGCCAATTGATGAAGGTGATTTCTGTTTTACTGAAATATTATATGGTCAGTTTAGAAGAGAAGTTCCTGTTCCTGTAGATTCAAGTAAAGACGGAATTAAGGCTTATTATCAAGAGGGTATTCTTTATGTGAAATTATTAAAAGTTTCAAATAGTAGTTGGGTCAATGTCGAAATCGTTTAAAAACATAATTATAATTTCACTTTTTTCATTTTCTGTGTTAATTTCTTTTATTTTTTTATTATTAGTTTTATTAGATATTATTTTGAGAACTGTCTGTTCATATATGATTCAATCTCATTTTATTGTATAAACTATGCAATGAAATAGAATTAAAAAGATTTATTTATTAATCACTATGACTCAACATCCAAGTGTAATGGTAAAACCAAAAACTGTCAAGGACAAACTTTCTGTTGTACAAATAATTATTCTTATTCCATTAGTTATTGTTTGTTTTCCAACTTCTTTAACTCGATACCAGACTAAAAACTTAATTATTCCATCAAATTTTCCAAAAGCATCAGACCTCTTTCCATCATTATTTATTTTAGTATTCTTATCTCTATTTAGATACTTTTTAACAAAACATATATTAAATCAACTTGGTGAATGGTGTATTGATGTTTGATATTTTTTTTTTCTTTAAACTCTACAACATTCACATTGTTAGAGAAAAAAATGGAACAATAAAAAAGTTAGAAAAGAAAGAGTTGAACGTTTTGGTCATTGTGTATTTAAAAATATCTATTTTTTTATCACTGCTCCTCTTGGTATCTGTTTATTCAAAAATGAAGATTGGGTTCCTGCTGTGTTGTTTGGTAATGGAAAACAAGACATATCCTTACTTTGGGAAGACTTTCCCTTAACACCACAAACTCGTAGTATTATTCTATTTTATAATTGGGAATTAGGATATCATCTTCAATCCTTGTTATTTCATCTTCTATCTACCCCTCGTAATGATTTTTTTGAAACACTCTTACATCATTTATGCTCTGTTTTTTTGATGACATTTTCTTATACTAATAATTGTGCAAGAATTGGGGTTCTTGTTTTAATTCTTCATGATGTTGTTGATGTCTTTATGTACTTTTCAAAATGGGCAATTGATCTTGAAAACGTTATCCCTGGAGGTCTCTGTTTTATTTTCTTAACTTTTGTTTATGCCTTATTCAGATTATATGTATTTCCTATATACATTATCCGAGCAGGTTTGATAGCCATAAATTATGTTCCTGATACAATTAAATATAAATATTTAACATATGGATTATTTATGTTGATGTTATTTTCTTTACTAGCATTGCACATTTATTGGTTCTATCTTATTATACAAATGTTAATTCATTTAATAAGTGGAAAAGGTGCAAGAGACATTCACTCTGTTGTAGAATAAATAATAATTCAATCATTTATTTAATAAAATGTAACAATCATTAATTTCTTGATATATCTCCCTATATGTATTTGATTATTCTGGTCAAAACAACTTATTTTCATATCAGTACTGAGTCTTATAGTTTCAAAAAGCCATATCGTGTTCTTTTCTTTGATTTTTACTGAACAAATATATTCAGGCAATGTTAAATTTTGCCAAATTCCATTAATTTTCTGCATGAAAATATCATTTCCTTTTAAAATCCTTCCTTTAACTCCATCATTTGATGCAATAAACAAGAATTGTTGATTAGTTTCATCACAAAATATGAATGATTTAATTCTTCTTTCCATGAAAATAAGTTGAACAATATTGTCATTAAGAAAAAATGAACCACTGAGAATAATTTCATATTGCCCTTTTCCAATTAATTGTCCTAGTCTTTGAATTTCTTTAATTGGCATTAAATCTCGTTCATGAAAACTTTGTGCTAAGAACAAAGAACGTTGAACTACCTTTGGACTAACTTCGGGGTCATTTATAATCATCCCAATTTCATTCATCCATTGGTCGTCAACAATCTCTCCTAAAGCATATATTTCTTCATCACTTATCCTATCTAAAATACTCATTAACATAACAAGATGTATTACTCCATTTGACTTCATGTATTTATTAGTACTATTATTTATTATGCTTTGTGCTTCTTTTTGAAGAAGTAATTGTCCTTGTTGGTTTATCACTTCTTTCTTTTTCATTTCGTTTTGGTGTTGTTTTTGAGTTTTATTCTTTTCTTGTTCAATTGTTGAAAATTCTTTAGACTCATTTATAGTATGATCAATAATAACTTTTTTTGTTTTCTTTGTTTCGTGAACATCTTTCTTTGTTACTTTTTTACTTCCTTTTATTACATTACATTCAATATTTTTCGGAGGTATTGGTCGTTTTTCCATCATTGGATTTAATTTTCCTTTTTTCATATTATTTTTTGAGATCTAGAACTTTTGTCTTTCTTTTTTTTTCTTACATGCTTTTATCACAACATTATCACTCAATCATTCCTTATTTATCTTCGTTAAAGGACGCACAAAACTTTTCTTTGATTAACAAGAAAACACTTAGTTCAGTACAGTCATTAGAGGAAAATCCATGTTATTCTGTTTTTTTTAATGATAAAAAATTACCAGCAAGTACTTCGTCATTGAAAAAAGAATTACTTTTGTTCAAAGGTATTCATTGTTTTAATTGTGGTAATAGAATAGAACAGTTAATAACTGAATGTTCTCGATTTTCTAGAATCAGACACTCAAACGGAAATATCCCAATTCAATTAGAAAGTAAAGTGATTCAATCAACATACATTCCAGAATATCCATCACATTTTTCACATTTACAAACAATTATCACAGTTTTTCCTAGTGATATATCTCGACTCCTAGAATTTTCTTGTTTGAAGAAAGTAATAATTTTCATTACCGAAGACGAACTAATTTCACAACTATATCAAACCATTGTATCGTTATCACCTTCTATCAAAATTATTCTTCACTTTACCACATTGAGCAAAGATTCACTCAAACTACTTCAACAAACAAACGCGTATTTGGTTAGTTCTGATTGGAGAAATTTTATCTGTTATAAAACTGATAAATTTATTTGTTATTTATCTGAATTAGACACTCCTTGTTTTAAACGAATAAAACAATTTCTTCCTCATTCAATTGAAATTTATTCGGAACCAACATTTCTTATATCAGTTAATAAATATAAAGATATCAATAAAGTGTATTCATTAAAAGAGTTTGATGGAATTCAAAAAGTGAGTCTCAATGGAATTCATACAAAAGGAATTACTATTGAATTACCTGTGAATATCACCGAATTAAATTCTGATTTTAATATATTAAATTTTAATGATTTAACTCAATTAAGAAATGCTACATTGAAATGGATACCTGAAGTATTAAATCTTCCTTTATTAAAAACAATAAAATTAAATAACTGCGAATGTACAATTGACCTTCATCAGTGTTATTTACTTGAAAATGTACAAATAGAAAAATGTTCAAGTCCATTAATTATTTTGTCTTCTTCAATTAAATTCTTAGTTATTGAATATTGTCAATTTATTAATTCACTTACCCTTCCATTATCAATTGAAAAGTTTGTGATTAAGGATTGCTCTTCATTAACAGAACTTAAAAATTCTTCGTTGGTACAGCCAATTGGTGTAACAATAAAAAATTGTAGTTCATTAAAGAATATAATTTTAAATTATAATAAATTAAGAACGTTGTTATACAAAACAGAAGAAGATTGCATTATTAACGTTAATGAATTAAAAGAACATGGAGTAACATGTCTTAATTTTTAATCTAATCCTTTTTAAATTCATTTTGTTGGTTAACTGAGAAACAATTGTTAATATTATTATGGATAACCATACTTTCCATTTGTTGATTATTTATTTCAGCTTGTTTTACAACTACATTATTGTTTTTTGTTTTGTTAAACAAATAAGTCTTAATAATTCTAACAATTTCAAACCTAACATATCTCCAAAAACAATAATAAACATGATCATAAAGTACATAAATTGTCCATATACAATACATCAAAAATAATATTTTATCTATATATTCCCAATGAAGTAACATGATATAGATTCCATAAACACTTAGAATTGAATAATAGATAACTCGAGTTATAACAAACATTATAGAATAAATATCATCTAATAACTGATGATATTTAGCAGGTACAAGTTGGTTAAGCTCTGAAATAAGTAAAGAAACAGAATCTAATAATAATCGAACAATTAGACCACCACATTGCTTTACATAAAACATATAAAGAATTCCAATATAACCAGGTATTGTATGCATGAGGATTGTTCTAAGTTCATCTGCTTGATTATTTTCTTTTAAAGTAACAACAAAATCAGTAATTTCTATTACATATGATATAGAAACTTCAAATAAAATAATTTCCTGGAGCAAAGTCATTCCAAGTAAATAATGAGGCTCAGCATCTTCATGCAAAGAAAAAATAATACATCCTAATAAAAGTATAACTTCTAGTACTGTAAAATGACTTCGGTATTTCCACTTTCTAAAATATATACCTATCCAAACAGCAATTGGTGTCATAATAAGAACACCCCACACAAAAGGATTCATTGAAATTAACTTTTTAGTTTATTTTTTAGTTTATGAAAATAAAGTTCTCTCTTACTTCTTCATTTATTTTTATTAACGAACAACCATTTATCTCACTTTGTTTAATTCAATACCTTTCCACTGAGTTACTGTTTCAATACCAATAAAATTTGATCCTGTTAATATAACATAAAAACTCAAATAAAAACTGTCAAATTTTTTTTTTAAGCATTTTAGATTTGATTTAAACATAATCTATTTAATTTATTTCACGAGTTACAAATATGAAGAAGTCACAAAAAAAGAAAAAGTATAAACCAATATCACTAAGAAATTTAAATGATAGAAGAATGAATGAAAATAGGTATTATCTCTACATAAATAGAAATATAATAATTATAATATTTAAATATTTCACTCATCACTTCAACCAATTTCATCATCAAAATATTTAACAATTTTAACAGAAATAATTATCACAATAAAATACAAAGAATATACCATATCAAAACAAACAAATGAGAACAAACCAAATAATAAATAAAAGAAATAATCTGACAGAAGTAATAAAAGATACACAAAATAAAATAATTAGGAGAACAAAGATATGTTTGGGCATATAGCAAATAAAGTAAATAATATTTAAATGAATAGAAAGAAAGGAAAAATCTGGTGGTACTTAAGAAATGGAATATTAATAATAAGAAACTAAGTGGAACTAAATACAAGTTAATAATAAGAATAATAGAATGAAATTACATTATATTTCAATAAGGTGTTACAAACTATAACTAATAAAAATATGAAAGACTGATTTTTATACAATACTCATAAAAAATGAATATTCTATTGTGAACACTTTTGAATTACTCTATTGCATAGGCAGAATGTATTAAGTCATTTGAACATCAATTTCTCAGTGTAAAAGGTCTAATTACAAACATTTCTAACCTATATTTTATTATACATAACTCGTTTAAGATGTAAAAACTTTTTTAGAACATCGAATTATTGGGGTTGTAAAAACACTATAATGTGACAAAAAAAATTATCTGAGAATAAAAGAGAAATCATTATATAACACAAAAGAGTTAATTTAAAATAACTCCTAACATACTTATAGAATGAAACATTCATAATCTTAGAAAAATATGAAAAAAGGAAATTAATTTAATAAATTTATTTTAATAATAATCAATCAGTTACTAAAATTAAGAAAAAAAACCATAATAATCTTTGTTTAAAGAAGATATTCTTTAAAAATACAATCAAGATAAAAAAGTAACAGCGCTTTGTGTAGGAATAATTTCGGTGATTGGCTTTATTCCAAGGGAAAGCTTGCGATAGTAATTGTGGGGTATTTAAATATCTACTTAATTAAAAGTAGTAATAATACGCTTCAAATATTTTTATTAATACCCTTTTTGTTATAAATAAAAAACAAAAATGAAAAATGATTAACATATTAAAAAAGATAATTACCATTGTTGAGCTAAAATTTTCTTAACGCCCAAATCCATTTGTTTGACCGAATCCAGTCGTTCCAAATCCTCCTTGTGTTTGTTGACCGAATCCATTTGTTTGACCAAACCCATTTGTTCCAAATCCTCCTTGTGTTTGTTGTCCAAATCCTCCTTGCTGTCCTCCAAATAATCCTCCTTGTTGTCCAAATCCATTTTGTTGATTACCTAACATTCCTCCTTGTTGTCCACCAAATACTCCTTGTTGTTGTCCAAATCCATTTTGTTGACCTCCAAATAATCCTCCTTGTTGTCCGAAGCCATTTTGTTGATTACCTAATACTCCTTGTTGTTGTCCAAATCCATTTTGTTGAGAACCAAACACTCCTTGTTGCTGTCCAAATCCATTTTGTTGTCCACCTAACATTCCTCCTTGTTGAGGAACAGGTTTATTTCCATTATTTGCTTTATAATCTTCTGTTCGAATTTCAATTAAAGACTTGTTTTTGAATTGTGACATAAAGTTGATTGATTTATAACTTGATCCTTCTTTAATTGTTTCCTGGTATTTAACAAAAGAACTTCCAGTTTGTGGTTGACCAAATCCTCCCAATGGATTAGATTGTTGTTGACCAAATCCACCTATACTGTTATTTTGTTGTTGGCCAAATGTTCCAAAACCTCCCATACCATTATTCAGTTGTTGACCAAAACTATTCATACCATTATTTTGTTGTTGGCCGAATCCTCCCATAAGGTTAGATTGTGGTTGACCAAATCCTCCCAATGGATTAGATTGTTGTTGACCAAATCCTCCCATACCACTATTTTGTTGTTGGCCAAATGTTCCAAAACCTCCCATACCGTTATTCGGTTGTTGACCAAAACCATTCATACCATTATTTTGTTGTTGACCAAATGTTCCAAACATTATCTTGTTGAATTTTTTAAGTTCTAAACTGAGCTTTTATTTGTTAAGTAATAATTAATTATTAACTATTAATTATAGTATAAAAATTATTCACAATTAATAAAAATAATTCACAAAATATAACACAAAATTAAATAACACAAAATTAAAAAAAGGAAAAAATCAAAGAACTTGAAATAGGGTTAGGTCTGATAAAAAGAATAAAATGGATATTTTAATAATTTATTCACTGAAGTGTGTTTTAGAATGACTAAAATTCTTGATGGAATAAGTTCGTTGACAAAAGTACCACTTTCAAAAGTTGATAATATTTCACCAACAATTATTAATGTCACAAATCCACAAAATGGTGTTTCATCTATTGACATAGTCAAAAGTGATAATGTTAACAATTTTAATGAAAAAGAACTATCAAAAACGATTAACGTCTCAAAACAAAATACTAAACAATATTCTCAAATACCCTCTTTCATAATTCAAACTGCAAAACCTATTCCTAAATTAAATATTCCACCATTAGAAGTACAACAAAATGTAAATATTTCTACAATACAATTAAGTAAATCATTTATTGGTAATAAGGAAACAAAAAGTATAAATACTCAATCAGATTCATTGAAAACAATAAATGAATTTCTACAACCAGAAAAGAAAGAAATACGTTTTCAATGCTCTCAACTCCAATTCAATCATCCAAATTCTCTCAAAACAAAGGACAAAAAGAAACCTGATTGGGAACGATTGAAACAAGTTTCAAAAACAAATGAGGCTTGTCAACAAGCAGTTTTTATTGGTTTATTAAACATGTTTGGATATGAAATTGGGATAGAGAGAGTATACAAAATATCAAAAAAGACATTTCCTTTATTAACTATTAAATTTGTTCATAGATGTACTCCTGATGGAAATCAAGATATGGAAATTATGACTAGTGCTACTAGGTTAAGTGAAGAAATGTTAAAGTTATCTACTGTTGAAGATAAAAAGAAAAGAAGACAACGTAAAAGAAATATGGATGCATCAATTTGTAATTCATTAATGGACTATCTTGAACAAGAAGGAGTAAAATTTGAAATAAAAGGGACTAGAAGTGCTCAATATACAATGGTTATGAAAAAAGTTAAAGATATTGATTTAGTGTTGTTTAATAAACAAAGAAAAATTACTCAAAAAGATATTGTAAATATAGGAAAATACATTAATAATCATTTAGTCAAAATGATGGGTGGATTAAAACGAAGAGCTATCTCTTCTGAACAGTATATTAGAATTGAGCCAAATGAACCTGATGTTACTAACATATTTTTAAATCATTTTAATGGATTGTTAAAAGAGTTTGATGAGAGTACAAAATGTATTGATATTGACTATGATTCATCACAAAATTTTCTCACATGCTCCGCATTACCACAGCCTTTCCGTTATAATAAATTGAAATACCCAAATGAATATTATTCATTCATTAAACAAGATATTATAGACTTTATATGTCATTCTTTTTCTTGAACTTAAATATTAATAATAACTTTGTACTTTTGTTTAATTTGGTTATTAGAATTTTTATTTCCTTACTTGTTTATGTTTAAAAAATACAATCAATTAAAAATGTTAAAAAAATCAGTTATCATTAATTAATCTCCTACTCTAAAATAGGAATGATTCAGGTTGTTGTTCTTTTACTTTAAGTAATGTTTGTTCTAAGTCAAAAATATTTTCGGTTAAACGAACTGACTCTTCATAGATAGTACTTTGAGATACTCCATCCATGACCTTTTTAAGTAAGTTAATATGATCTAACAACCTTACTTCTTGTGATGAAACTTTCAAAAATTGTTGAACACAATATACTAAACATTGATCAACCTCTTCTCCTGTTAAGTCATGAATGTTTTTACTCATAATTTCTTCTTCTTTCTTTATACTATCCAAAAGACCTTGTGCTGCATAGTCTTTAATTTGATTTTCCATTTCTGAGTAGTGTTTTTCTAAAATTTCTTCTTTTGCTGTAACACTTCCTTTTTTAATTCCATTTCTCTCTCGAATTAGATCTTCTAAATCAATACAATCATTAAAAATCTTCTGATTACTTTTAGTTTTTTCATCAATCTTACCTTTGAACTGTGAAATTTCAACTTTCATTTGGTTTAATGGAACTACTTTAGATAATACACTTTCTTCATTTGATGGAACTGAATACCTTGAGACTGGTTTGTCATCACCACGTCTTATTCCACATTCACTTTTGATTCTACTTCGTTCCATTTTAATTTGTTTTGTCTCATTTTCAATTTCTCCTTTCACTTTTTCAATACTTTTTCTTTCTTTCTCTTTAACTTCTTTTTCTCTATCTAATTGGTATTGTTCTAATTCTCTATGTTCCTGTTCTCTAACTTCTTTTAATTTAGTAAGTTGTGCTAATAAATCTTCTTTTTCTTCTTTTAATGTATTAAATTCTTCTTCTTTCTTTCTTAAAGATCTTCTAAATCCAACAACATCGTTATAATAATCTAAACTCATTTCTCTAACTTCTTTTAATTGTTTTGATAATATCTTAATTTGTTCATCTTGTTCGATGCCAGTTTTACCTGCTACTTTTTCAACTTGAAGTTTTAATTCAGAAGCTTTAGTTTCTTGTTCTTTTAATTGTTTCTTCAAATCAATAATAGTTGCATTTTGTTGTTTGATTAGTTTATTTAGAGAGTCAATTTCTTCTTTGTTATTATGAATAATTTTCAAATTTTGCTTACGGTCATCAAGTAATAGTTGTTTTTCATATTCTAATTTATTTTTTTGTTCCATACACCTATTAATCTCGTTTTCTTCATAAGGAGCAATAACCTTCGTAGGATCTCCTTGACTAAAATCAACTAATTCCATAAAAGTGGTAAATCTATCTGATAGTGGTGGGCTTAAAATTAACTCATAAATATATTTTATAGATTCCCTCATCTCATCAAGCCCACGCTTTCGAATCATATAATAAATAATTCTATGAAATCTAGTATAGTTAGTTGGATCTTGTTTGACAGTAGCTTGGTATGTATAGTCTGATGTATATATAGGATTTAACCAATCAGAACGTCTACTTGTCATTTCAATAAATGATAATTATTAGTTTGCGTAAGACATTTTCTAGAGTTCCATGTTTTTTTTCGAATCTAGAATTTAATTAAAAAAATTATATGAATCAAACTCTTTTCTTTATGCCTTACCTTTTACTATAATCCTTTTATCTTTTCTACAAAAATGATTATCCTCAAGAAAGATTGATATCAAAAGACAAACAACTTGGTTATATATAAAAAAAAAAGAAAACAGTTATTCATTTTTAGCTTTCTTTGATGAACGAGATACTGTAGTTCCAACTTTTTGCCATTCAAGATAGTTTGCTCGTAAATAAGGCATTGGTAATCCAAATGCTAACAAACAAAATGCTAATCCGATTCCATCGATTGAAAGCATTACAAATACGTTTTGTGTAATAAAGCCAATGATAAATCCAAGAATCTAAAGGTGATTAATAACAAAATAAACAAATAATGAAAATAACTTTGTAATAAAAAACTCATTGAAGAACAAACGATGGTAAGTGGAACGATAATTGAAGTACTTTTGTCAACAATCTTTTGTCCAACAAAATCAATTGGAGGAATAGTAAATTGAAATTGGTTCATTGAAAATAATAAGATTATATCTTGTTAAAAATTTATCTTAAAAATAAATAACATAATACTACCAAGGAACGATGAATTTTGTTATTTAAGCAAAGAAATCAGGAACAGCTTTTGGGATTTGTTGTCGTAATGGTTTCCAATTCTTTGGCATAGCAGAGAGTGGTGGTGCACAATATTGAACTGAAACAATCATTCCAGCACTACTAACTTCCAAATAACACCCTAAGTTACCAAACTCTCCAACAAAATTGGTTGCACTCCAAATAGAATGAACAGACTTATTATCAGAGAGTACTTCACCTAATGGTTGTAATGAATTTGTGTTAATAAGAAGTTTAAAATGTCTTGAAGGGTTATTAGAATTTTCTTTTTCGAGGTATTGAGTAACATCAGCTTCAGTAAATTGATACTCATCAGTTCGTTCATACCATTTGAAATATTTTGTGTATTTTTCTTCTTTAGCTTGAGCAATAATAAACCAAGTTAAAGCATCAGATGCAGTGAGATTTTTAACACGAGGAAGTGTATTAAGATTATCTAATGATACATGATTTAAAATTCCACCATGACAACATAAATAAGTTCCTTGAACAACTGCAGCAATAGGTAAGTATTTGAATGTTTCAACAATCATTTGGTATACATTATCATTACCGTATTTACTAAAACATTCAGATTGAAATCCACCAATTTCACTAAACATTTTAAGTTCATTTTGACCACGCAACATAATTATTTTAGTTGGATATAAAACTTTATAACACATTAAGATAATATAAACTTCTAATCCATTCATTCCAAAATTAACATAGTCTCCTAAAAACAAATAATTCGTAAATGGTATTTTCCCTGACATTTTAAAAATATTTAATAAATCATGTAATTGTCCATTTAAACATCCAACAATTGTTACTTGGCTATTAATTGGAACAACATTTTGTTCTCTTAAACAAATAATTTTAAATTGTTCACAAATTTCTTTTATAACTTCTTCATGAATAACTTCTAACTCACTAACTTTATTAATACATTCATTAAGATGTGCCATAGTTGTAACCATCTCTTTCTTTTCTTTCTTTTTTTTTTAGAAAATTTTATATTTTTTTTATAAATTTTTTTCTTAACAAAAAAAATTTTTATTTTTGTTATTCTTAAAATAAAATGAAACCCTGTTCGTTTATTTTTTTAAAAAGGAAGAACTTCTTTTCAATTAAAAATAATGCCAATAAGATATAAGTGTATTGTTATAGATCATGATGATACAACTGTTGATTCTACTCCATCAATTCATTATCCAGCATATTTAGATTTTGCGGTTTGTTTTTTTTTATTTAAAGCCTTTAAAAAATTGATAATAATTATATTCAGAACAGTGTTATGAAAGGAAGAGACTATAAAATTTTATCATTACAAGAATGGTATAGAATGTTATGGGACTATGACTATTTTGAATATATTAGAGATGTTATGAAATTAAATAAAGAAGAACAAGACCTTGAATATAAATTATGGCTTGAATACACAGCTACTAGACATCCTCAAATGTTTCCAGGATTTCTTGAGATGTTAATTGAATATAAGAAACAAGGAGGAATAGTTTGTGTGTGTTCTCATTCACATGCTAAAGATATTAAAAGACATTACGAAGAGCATAACTTTATTCCAGACGAAATATTTGGTAGTGTTAGAGGACATCCAGAATTGTGTAAACCATACACTTATCCTATTGATACAATTAAAGAAAAATATCATCTTAAACCATCTGAAATTGTAGTTATTGATGATCTTGCGCCAGGGTTTACAATGGCAAAATCTGCAGGAGTAGATGCAATTGGAGTTTTATATGGAGAAGGACATGAGTTAGTAGAAGATGATATTAAAAAGGTTTGTAAATATGTTTTTAATACAGTTTCAGACCTTTCTAACTTTTTGTTAAATCCAGTAGAACCATAAATATTTTGTAGTTGAATGGTTTAATTTAATATTTTTAACGTTTGGTTTTATTTCATTCATCATACAACTCATTACTTTCTATTATTGTTGGTTGTTCTTCATTTAATTCATCTTCATTTTTAAGTATTAAAGGAGGGTCATGTTCTTCTTCTTCTATGTGTTGGTCTAAGTTTGGTTGTTGAGGCTCTTCTTCATGAATCATGTCATCACTAACTTGTGCACAAACATAAAATGCAATTTCTGCAGAAACTTCTTTGTCATCTGATTCATAAGTACACTCAATATATAACATTTTATTTGAATTCATTAATATTATAACCTTTTTTGATTGGTCTAATGCCTTTTTAATAGCTCTAAAATAATTCAAATGATATCGTGCTGTGACATTAGCTAGACATTCAAAATGAACAAATGTTTGAGATGAATATGTTGTAGTAATAGAATCTGAAGGTGATTGTGATGATATCATTAATTTCCCATGAATATCTGTTTCAAATGTAATATACATATGATTCCATTCTAATGATCTAAATGATGGCATTAATGATACTGAAGTGGCAGAGATATGTAATATTCCTTTGTAAGTACTAAATTCAAATACCCTATTATTATAGGCATCTTGTGAATAAGTAGATATTTTCATTCTAACAGTTGTAATTCTAGTTCGAAGTTGCAATAATACTGAACTAGTTTCTAAAATATAAATATCAACCCTTGATTCTGTTTGAATAAGTGCAGACTCAAAGAATACTAATAAATCTTTTAATGGTAATCGTAAATTGATTTCTTGATCTTTTTCTTCAAATCCATATATTTCAAATAAATCTCTTTGCCAAAACACAATACACTGAAACACACCTTTCTCTTCTATAAACAATTTAATTCCATTACTATCAATCCATAAATTAACAACTGGAGTTTTTGATTCTTTATTATATAATAGTTGAAGTGTAGAGGATAATGTTTTTACATATCTTGATGTAAATTGAAATTGACTTTGATTCATTTGTTGTGTTTGTCTCATAGAATTTCCATTTGTTGGACCATTAGTTGTTGAAAGACTTGTGACATCTCTATCAAGAAGATCTTCAGACATATAACTTTCATTTATTTGTGACATAGTTAATATAGAACTATACTATAAATTTTTAAGATAAAGCCTTTGAAACTCTTTTCAAATAAAAAGTTGAGGTATTTTATTTTTTTTTTCTTTTAGAAAACAATCAATTTACTAGTTGAAGTTGTATTTTTTCCATAAACTCATCAAATGCTTTCTCTAATTCTTGTTGGTGTTCATTCATTTTTTGTTTCTTTAATGGACAGTCGCAAGTAGCGTGTGAACTATCTCCACAAAACCCACACTTAATTCCACTTTCGTATTGTTCAACTTCATACACTCTATCTTCTCTGAATGTTCCATTCCAAAGAGCAAGTTCTCTTAACTGATTGTGCTTAAGTACATTAATCTCTTCTGAGGGGGCACTTATAATTTTAGTAATTTCTTCACATGCAAGATCTAAAGCTTCTTGAGTATCTGCAGTAATAAATACATGAGAGTCTTCATTTTCTCTATCTCCATATCCTGACAATTTCCCTAATTTTTTTGGATCTTTACCTCTAATAGAAATTTTAGCTCCACTATCTTTTTCAAGCCTTTTCTGGTTATCTCCTCGTGGTCCAATTATCAAACCAATAAAATTAGTGTCAGGCCTATCTTTAGGAAAATATATCTTTTTTGTTCGTTTTCCACTTGGTTTAGCAAGTTCAGCTGGAATTCTAAATGATGGATAAATTTCAATTGCCCGATCAACAACATAAAGACGTTCATTTTTTAATTTTTCTTCCCTTCTCATTTCTCTTGTTATTTCTTGTTGATTTTCGTTATATTGCTTTGGAGGTGATGGGGTTCTATCTCGTTCAGTGTTTAATCCAAGTCGATGTGTTCCAAGGGCGTATTGTAACTCCTCATATCTAATCCTTATTGCCAATGTATCCCAATACTTTTCATCTAATGACGGAGGAATGTGAACAGGAATGTTTGGTAATACATCTCTTATTTTTCTGTCCCATCTAGAAACTCTTTTTTCATGAATTGGAAGTCCTCCAGGATGAGTAAATCGTTCTTTATAATCAATTTCTTTCACTTCTTCCATTTTCTTGCTTTTTAATTTTTTTAGTTTTATTTAACAAAAAAATAATTGAAAATAAATTATTTATCAAGTTGTAAAATTTATATCCTATACCTCTCCAACTATTGGGAGGTTCTTGAACGAAAACCTCTTGAATACTTTTGTCTCAAACCCTCTTCGAAGTTTTGGATGTTGTTCGAAAGAAATAGTTTTTGGTGTTAGTATTTTAGAGAAGATTTTTTGTTGAGTGGTTTTGATTTCTGTTATATCAGAAATTTGTTTCAGTAAAATACATTTACTACTAGAATTTACTTCGTTGTTATTTAGCTCAGAATCATCAACTCTATGTTTAACTTGGAATGGAGACTCTTCTAATGGACAATTGAATTTTTCTGTATATTTATCTTCAACTTTGTACTTAACAAAGCCATGTCCTTTCAATTCAAATAAAGCATCTCTCAAGTAAAAGTGATGAACCAACATACTCCAAACTTTAGATCCTATTAATGTTTGAATATTACCAATAACTATTAGTCCACATTTAGCTCTTGTTAATGCAACATTTAATCTTTTATAATCACTCACAAATCCAATTCCAAGAGTTTGGTTTGATCTAACACAAGAAAAAATAATATATTCTTTTTCATTTCCTTGAAATCCATCAATATTAGCAACTTTAATTTTTGTAGAAACACATTGAGAAATAAGTTCTTGTTGAGCCTGATATGGTGAAATAATTCCTATTTCATTTTCTTTAACCTTATTCTTCAACAAGCCACCAACAATATGTTTTATTATTAGAACTTCTCCTTCATTATTATAACTTGTTCCACTACTTCCACATTCTTCTCTTCCATCACAATTAATAAACATTATAGGATTTGTATAATCTGGGAAGAAATTAATAATTCTACTATCAAATCTATCTTCATTACTCACCCCATTCTCTAATTTAGAAGAATAAAACATTTTATTTGAAAATTCTACAATTGCTGGATGCATTCTGTATTGTGTTTTTAACATTGTTCTTTTGATTTGTGTATTTGCCATAAATCGTTCAAACATTGATTTTTGGAATCCAGCTTCTCTAGCCTCAGTTGAAAGACATGTTGGTTGTAATTGTTGAATATCTCCAATTAAAACTGCTTTTCTAACATTAATAATTCCAGCCAATGTTTCTGGTTCAAGAGATTGAGCAGCTTCATCAACAATAGATGCAAAAAATTTTTGTTTTAATAATGTTGAACGAGTACAAGTAGTGAGTGTAGAACAAACACATTCTATTCCCTTTAATATCTCACCAAAATAATCTGAGATGAATTTGTTAATATACTCGTTCTCACTGGGTTTTATTTTTTGATTGATTCTATCTAAAACTTTTTGTAAATCTGGATTAGTTCGTTTGACAAAGTCTTCAAACGCTCCATACTTTATTTGATTTATTGGGTTTGATAAATATGTTTCATGATAAATTTGAACTCTTCTCTTTTCATCTTCTGTTAGATATTGTCCATATTTTTTCTTTAGTAACTCTCTTATATTAATTGTTAATAACTCTCCTGTACTTTCGGCTTGATCAATACTAGTTAAACTGATTGTCAATTTTTTATGCTTTTTAGACCTTCTTTTTTGAGTTTGGTTTGCAGTGAAATCACCGTAACTTGTTATTGACACCATTTTAATTCCTCTTTTTTCTGTAAATTCTATTGCTTTTTTTAATAATGAATGTTCTCGTATCTTATCACTACAGTTTTCAAATTGTTCATCTGCAACTATTCTAATTGTTGGAATTCCTTTTTCAATAAGTTTTGAACAAATAACATCAACAGCATTATTACTTGATGCACAAACTAATAGTCTTCTTTCAGCTCTATTTCTATTATAAAATCTATGTTTGTTATAAATCAAATATTGTGCAATTGAAACAGCAACTGTAGTTTTACCAGTTCCAGGTGGTCCTATTACAAGTGAGATATCTTCATTTAGAGCATTGTAAATAGCCTTAATTTGGTAATCATTTAAGTTAGATAAATTAGGAATATTATATTTATCTGTTAATATTTCATCATAAGTTATTGTATCATTTGTTTTTTTGTCTTGGTAATTGTTACAACACAATATTTTTGAATAATATCCATCAAGGTGTCGTTTTTCTAATGTTTCTAGTGTTCTAATAAATGGATTTCCTTTGTCATTAGTAAAAAAATAAATCCTAAATAATGATGTTTTTTTCACTATCTTTTCATCATATTTCCATTTTTTCTCATTTGTTGGATGTTTCCTAGTAATTTGACATGTCTCATCATCACTACACTCTGTTCCAAAAAGAGAGTCTTGTAATCTAACAGTAACTGTTTTACCACTAATCGAAGTGATGTTTCCTCCAAATACACATTTTGATGATTTAAAGAATAAAGATGGAAATAGTTTTATTTCTATTGAATTTGTGTCATTAATCATGTTTTTTAATCCACCACAACTAATAATTACCTCGTCTTCTAACTGAAGACCTCCAATAGCTTTATAAAGGTTAATTTCAGCAGTTGTACATGTTGGGTGCTTGAAAAATTTAATATTTTGTTCTTCTTGTCTTAATTCAACTTCAGCTACTCTACGCTCTTCTTTCTTTTCAACTTTAGACAGATATAAGTAAGTCTGAACATAATCTTTAAGTGTTTGATATTCATCTCTAACTCTTTTGTTTGTTTTTTCTTTTGGAAATTGAGATTCAATACTATCAACTAAATCTTGTTTAACACAAGAAACAGATTGACCAACTTCATAGTTATCTATTATAACAGCACCTTCATTAACAATACTCTTAGTGTATAGTTGTTTGGTTATTTTATTATTCTGGCGTTTTAAGCAATGAGAACATAAGAAATCTTTTGAGTTGTATTTATAATGAAGATTATATATATTTGTTTCTTCACATTGAGAACATTTTAGCACAACTCCATCAAAAGAGATACTAAAATGGGAATTAACTCTCATATGATAAAGGAGTTGGCATATTCCAGTATTCATAATTTTACCATTACAAAAATATTTACCACATTGACACTGAATAATACCAGTTGTTTCTCCACAGTATTCACAGCGTTTTTCTTCCATTGAACTAATTCAGTTGTAGCTTGTTTAAGTGTAAGTTTTTTCATCACACATAAAAGAAGTGAAACAGAAATGAAATTCTTGATGAAAAAAAATAAATCATTGTGTTTCATTTTTATTTAATATTTAGTACTTTATAGCATTTTAAAGCCATAGTATAAAAACTAATTTGACCCTGTCTGTACAAAGAAAACCCTTGTGATGCATTATGTGAGTAAAAGTCCTTTGCAAATTAAAAATTACTTGAAAAAAATATAATAATAGTAAA